CGTCTTACTGAACTTTCGGTTTCAACGTACAGACATCCAGTTTCTTATCTCAACATCTCTCTTATCCGCTTGAAAAACTCCACAACCCTCCCTTCTTCATTGTTATACTCCTTAATTTTTGCGCTATATTGCTAAACTTTACTTCAATTTTAGTGTTCATTATGAGTTTTATATTGATTTTCCACTGCATTGTTTACTCCAGCATGAAAGGATAAGCAGTACTTCGATTATATATACAACTGCCACGTTGCTGCCTATTTTCTTCTCTCTGTTGTACCTTTTCAGAACCCTTGTAAGATCCATTTGAAAGGCTTTGTTTGGGAAAATCCCTCCGTTAATACATTTTTAATATGTCCTTATTGATTCTTTAACTCCGCCAGTAGAACCTTCGGGGCTACTGCCGGTCCCAAGCCCGGGTAACGGAGGAGGGTTGGACATGGGGTTAGCGGCCCCATTCCGTTGAAAACTAACTTGCCAAAAAAACGCTAACCAGAAAAAGCAGAATTATGATGTCGCGTGATGAAAGCCGAGTTCCCTCGGAAGTCACGGGGCCGATGCCTCTTCTCACAACCAGAGCAACCATTTTTTAGGTACATGGAACGTTCGTACATTGTGGGAGACTGGAAGACTATTTCAAGTTGCGGCAGAAATGAAAAGATACAACCTCGAGGTGCTCGGCATCAGTGAAACGCATTGGACACAGGTAGGACAACTGAGACTAGCTTCAGGGGAACTGCTGTCATACTCTGGTCATGAAGAGGAAAATGTTTCACACACACAAGGAGTTGCACTGATGCTGTCCAAACATGCACAAAAGGCACTGATAGGATGGGAATCTCATGGACCCAGGATCATTGAGGCATCCTTCAAAACAAAGAAAGAGGACATTACAATGAACGTCATCCAATATTATGCACCTACCAACGACTACAATGATGACGTTAAAGATCAATTCTACGAAAGACTGCAGTCAATCGTCGAGAAATGTTCACCAAAGGATTTGACGATTCTTATGGGAGACCTGAATGCCAAGGTTGGAATGGATAACACTGGATATGAAGACATCACGGGATGACATGGACTAGGAGAAAGGAACGAAAACGGTGAGACATTTGCAAACCTATGTGCCCTCAACAAACTGGTCATCGGTGACACAATATTCCTACACAAACGCATACACAAAGCTACATGGATTTCACCGGACCACACTACTCAAAACCAGATGGATCATATCTGTATCAACAAAACGTTCAGAAGGACTATGGAGGATGTGAGAACCAAGAGAGGAGCTGATATAGCCTCAGATCACCATTTGCTGATCGCCAAAATGAAACTGAAACTAAAGAAGCACTGAACAACGGGACAGACAACATCACACAAGGTTAATACGGCATTTCTTCGGGATAATGTAAAGCTCAACGAATTCAGGATAGCCCTCACCAATAGGGTCCAGGCCTTTCAGGATCTACTCAATGGAGAGGACGCAACATTTGAGAACAATTGGAAAGGGATTAAAGAGGCAATCACTCCAACATGTCAGGAGGTCCTTGGTCGCAAGAAGCAGCATCACAAGGAATGGATCTCTGTTGATACTCTTGCAAAAATTGAAGAAAGGAGGAACAAGAATGCAGCAATCAATGTCAGCCGAACAAGAGCAGAGAAAGTTAAGGCGCAAGCCGAGTATACAGAAGCAAACAGGGAAGTGAAGAAGAGCATCAGAGCTGACAAACGAAAATATGTGGAAGATCTAGCAATGACGGCGGAACAGGCTGCAAGAGACGGAAACTTGAGAGAGTTGTAAGAAACAACAAAGAAGCTCGCCGGAAACTATCGTAAACCAGAACGACCAGTGAAAAGCAAGGATGGGAAAATAACCAGCAACACTGAAGAACAGCGAAATAGGTGGGTAGAGCACTTTCAGGAACTCCTGAATCGACCAGCTCCACTGAACCCACCCAACATCGAAGCAGCATCCACGGACCTCCCAATTAATATTGGCGCACCTACGATTGGGAGATCAGTATGGCCATCAGACAAATCAAGAGCGGCAAAGCAGCAGGACCAGACAACATTCCAGCAGAGGTAATCAAAGCAGATGTAGAAGCAACTGCGAAAATATTTCACATCCTCTTCAAGAAGATTTGGGATGAGGAAAAGGTACCATCAAATTGGAAAGAAGGATACCTCATCAAAATACCAAAGAAAGGCGACCTGAGCAAGTGTGAGAACTACAGAGGCATCACTCTTCTTTCAATACCAGGCAAAGTCTTCAACAGAGTATTGCTAAACAGAATGAAGGACTTCGTAGACGCCCAACTTCGAGATCAACAGGCCGGATTTCGCAAGGATCGATCGTGTACTGACCAAATCACAACATTACGGATCATTGTGGAACAATCGATTGAATGGAACTCACCACTCTACATCAACTTCATCGACTACGAGAAGGCATTGGACAGCGTAGATAGGAAAACACTGTGGAGGCGCCTTCGATACTATGGTGTGCCTGAGAAAATAGTTAACATCATACGGAATTCTGATGATGGATTCAACTGCAAAATCGTACACGAAGGACAGCTAACAGACTCTTTCGAGGTGAAGACCGGTGTCAGGCAAGGTTGCTTACTCTCACCCTTTCTCTTTCTCCTGGTCATCGACTGGATTATGAAAACGTCAACATCTGGAGTGAAGCACGGTATCAACTGGACAGTTAGGACGCAGCTGGACGATCTGGACTTCGCAGATGACCTGGCTCTTCTATCGCACACGCAACAACAAATGCAAGAGAAGACGACTAGTGTAGCAGCAGCCTCTGCAGCAGTAGGTCTCAACATACATAAAGGAAAAAGCAAAATTCTCCGATGCAACACAACATGCACCAACCGAATCACTCTTGATGGAGATGCTTTGGAGGACGTTAACACCTTTACATATCTTGGCAGCATGATCGACAATCAAGGTGGATCCGATGCAGATGTGAGGGCACGGATTGGCAAAGCAAGGGCTGCATTTCTACAGTTGAAAAATATCTGGAACTGCAGACAACTTTCAATCAAAACCAAAATCAGGATTTTCAATACAAATGTCAAGACAGTTCTACTACATGGAGCGAAAACATGGAGAACTACCAAAGCCATCATCCAGAAGATACAAGTGTTTATTAACAGTTGTCTACGCAAAATACTTCGTATTCGTTGGCCAGACACCATCAGCAACAACGAACTGTGGGAGAGAACAAACCAGATTCCAGTGGAGGAGGAAATCAGGAAGAAGCGATAGAAGTGGATAGGACACATATTGCGGAAAGCACGTAACTGCGTCACGAGACAAGTCCTCACATGGAACCCTCAAGGCTAAAGGACAAGAGGAAGGCCAAGGAACACATTACGCCGAGAAACAGAGAAAGATATCAGAGGAATGAACAAACATTGGACAGAACTGTAGAGGGAAGCCCAGGACAGAGTTGGTTGGAGAAAACTGGTGAGCGGCCTATGCTCCATTGGGGGTAACAGGCGTGAGTAAGTAAGTGGTAAGAGAGCCTCGACATCACTTCGAACCATAAAGGAGACGGAACTAAGGCTAATACAACTCTTCACTTTATACGAAGACAACGTGGTACAATTTTAGTGGTGACCAAGTCGAGATTGACTATGATCACCCCTAAATACTCGTTACTATCCCGTCACATATGAAGGACAAAGTAGGCCTTTTAATAGAACAGCGAGTTATGTGAAATGGCAGCAACGTGTAAAAGAACGTCGAGCGCACGTCAGTGTTTCTCGTACAGTTAAACGAAACGAGTACTATAATAAATGTTTATTTTTCACCAATTGCGTTTTCTTCGTAGTGTTCCACTACACAGTCACCAAAGAATTATTCTTAACCATGTTTAAAACGTACGCACGCCAACACCATGAGGTTTAAAAATGTTTCGCACCCCTGTCCTTAAAATAAGTTTAAATCTCTTATATCGAATGCAGAGACAAGAAGGTAAATGGGTGTTGGGGTTGAAGAACGAACTTTGCGCAGCTAGATTTCGGTACTTGAGATTATTCTCTCTGAGTTACAGGGGAATCAGATGTAATCTGACTAAGGCGTACAACATATTAGGCACGTCAAACCACCCTAACATGAGCATCATACCGAGGCATCATCACCACTCCCCTCGGTATAATCCTCGAAAAACTGCGCATCAAAGAGCCAACATTCATGTTCGCACACTTTCTAATTAAGAGTCGTTGCAACTTGGAATGCTCTCCCAGCCGAGGTGAACACAGCCCCCTCAGTGGACAGCTTTGAGAAGAGACTTGATAAACACATACCCGCATACAGATTATTGTCTCCCTTTTGAACGGGCTGTGCGTGACGCGTGTTTTAAGCGATGCTAGTTTTGGCTATTGTGATTTACTCAGATCACTATCACGCTTATTGTCCCAGTTTCCCTTCTCTTGTTTAAACTTTGGTCTAGCCAACTGGCTAGAATAAATGCAGTTGAATGGCTAGACTACCATCCATTGGACACAATCAAATGCCCGAAAGCGTGCCAAAAGATCTAAAATCGAGCGCAAATCAATCAATTGGTTTTTAATAGCTGTCGGAAAAGATATTGTATGTATTGAATCTCTTATTTCTACCTACGGAGACTGAAGCTGAAGAGTATCTGATGTGACCGGTTCAAGGTCGTTGAGATTTAAGGCCAAACGACTTTGAAAGCGTTTTCGTAATGCATTCGAAACTGTACGCCACCAACCTCTAGTTTCAGCTATCAAGTTGGTTTAATCTGACGCTAGTGTCCTTTCTTACTGTTTTTCGTTTCTTTCTTTACTAGATGTACGTGCTTTACATTTGTTTATCAAGTCGTCCGTAGACTTTTTCTCTTTTTCTTTCTTCCAGATTCTCCCACACATCGTTCCTCATACTCCCCCGATACACAAGATACTTTGAATCTAGACGTGAATCTGCTGAAAGCTAAACGTTAAACTTGAATTACCAAGAGTGCCATGAGGTATATGTGGTCAATTCGCTTTCCGTGTTTTATATTCGTTAAATTAGTCATAAACCTGCAATCATTAGCACGAACATGTTCATTTGAATTTTCTACTGTTTGTGTTAAAATTTTGACGGCGTTACTGCCTTTAAATTATATAAAGCAAACTATTAAGTGAATAAGAATAGCATTCTATAAGAAAGTTAGGTTTGAAATTATGTAAAGCGCAACTATTTGTCACATTCTCATCTGTCATCAGGTAACCGAGATCTTCCCCACGCTTTCTGCGAGGGCCAGTAATATTGTTCTCTCAGCGTGTACATAGTTTTGGTTGTTTCAGATTTATACAGATTTCTGCCCCCTTACTTACGCCTGTTACCCTAATTTCTTCCTCAACTGGAATGTGCTTTGATCTGTCCCACAGCAGGTTGTTACTGAGGGTGTCAAGCCAACGGGTCCGCATTATATTGCGTGGACAGCTGTTAATAAACACGTATATACAAATAGTGAATAAATGTAGCCAGCTGAGTACTCATGTTATCCCGTGGTTAGTGTAGGTCTGTTCGTTTCTTCACCATCCAGGAGTGCATTCACACTAAAATCTAAAGAAAATGTTATAATGTAACAAACATTTCAGAGGTTAGAACTGGTATCTTGGGTTATTGTGTATTTTAATTTTGTCGTATAATTACCGGACAAGTAGATCACTATGTTTCTATATTCTGTTCATCCTAAACTGTTTGTTAACCCATAAGCTATTGTCATACATGTTAGTATTCCTAATTTTTGATCACTTCACCACTCACTGTCTCTATTCATAGCCGCTCTTTGGTTTTTTCATCTATAATTATCATTTTTAATTTCACGGTGTGATGCGGTCTGATCCGTTTCCACATAAACTACGTCTGTTTGAAATTTACGTATAGTTAAGGTTGGTTGCTGAGTAGAGGCTAATAATAGACGTGGCATCATCCAAATCAGGTTCGGCATTCTGATTGATGACTGGGCACGTGATATCTCGGCGGGACTGCAAGAAATAACTGTTGATTTCCGCTTACTCTTGGTCTCCCCCCCTGTGTCATCCGACGCGACTAAAGAGCTTGTGATCCGTTTTTACTTTGTGAGAATACCCTCGACGCATATATATACATATATTTATACATGATATGAATTTTCCAATTATTAGTCTAACTAAATCACCAATCAAAAATATTGATGAACTTTTGGAGGAAGTTAAAAAAAATGAAGGAAGAAGAATATTTATCCTCTTCTGTGGTACACCTTTACCAGATGGGACTAACTGGTGTCCTGATTGTGTTAAAGGTTAGTATAATACTTGTCTTCATAATTGACTTCGTGTTTCACCATCTATATAACATAGTTCATTATTATATGGGTCTCTGGGTCAACGGGTTTATTTTAACTTACTTCAACGCAATGTCTTCTATTTCGTAGGTCCGTCCAAAAATCGTCAGCTAACACTGTTTTGGAAACCATTTTTAGGGCACCGTGTTTCTTGTTGTTGACGTCTCCAGTAAGATACAAATAATTTCTCTTCCCAGCTTCTGTTTTCACGCAACTTGCCACGTGCGCTCACAAAATCCACGGTTCTTATTTAGGTCTTGTAAGAGTTTTATCGCAAAAAGACTTAAAAATCTTTATACTTCCAATCTACAAAAATAAATTGGTGCATAAAAGTTTTGAAAGCTGTCTTTCCACTACTCAACTGAAAAATGCAGGAGATTGCTCATACCAAAATATCATGTTTGTTCCTAAAACTCCAGTGTTTTAGATGAAGAATATTAGTTCCCATAGCTTTAGAACAAGTAGAAAGTCTGAATCTAAACAGGATCCTCAAAGATGTAACCTCAATCATATCTTCCTGAACTAGTTATAATGATCAATTATTACTACAGTGCTCATAGGAACTACTTACTTTGAAAAATAACAATTGGCCATATTCTTTAACCTGTGGATGGGACTTGACCTTGGCATCTTTGGAGTAGTCCCTTTCCGTACAAGAAGTCGAGCAGAGAGAGTTGTAGGAAGACATGTTTTGGATTATTAACAGGCGTAAACCTCAGAATTACAGTTAGAGGCTAGCCTGGATGCATGTGTGTGTTAACCATGGTGGGTCACATATTCTGAAATAACGACTATTTCCTACTGTATGGGAGTTATTTTTTCTAACGGACTTTTCATTAACGAAATCGTAGCCGGGATTCATGGGTCTACACTTCATGTAAAACTGGAGACTTATCTGAATACCCACAAAACCGTAAATTTACTGCATTCTAATATATGGAGACACCTATTATGTACTGATGATAGGAAGTTTATCTATATTTTGTTAGGTTTTTTTAAAATCGCTCATCTGTTGTATAGTCACTATCATTGTAAAAGATCAGTGGGATAAGTCATTCAATAGATTTGCGAAACTACGTTAAATGGTAGATGCGATCTGAAATATATATATATATATATATATATATATATATATATATATATATATAGTGACTATTTCAACTTATAAATCAGGGAATAGAATAGCCACTACCTCTAAAACAGGAAATGTAGTCAGTTCATATAGTTTGTGACTTGATCAGAGCTACTGTGAGATATGTAGGGTTTCTTTCCGAAGTGGGTAATTTCTTACTAATTGATGGAAATAACCTTCATATAAAGTGTACCATTCTTGGGTACTGTGCTATATTTTTTCATTCCCAACATTTTCTAATGCTCAGCTAATCGTTTCTTACTTATTAGGTGAACCAATAGTAAAAGAAGCTCTTAAAAAATTGCCAGAAAATGCAGTTTTTCTAAAAGTAGAAGTTGGAGACCGAGCTACGTATGACAGTACATTACTTCGTTTTTGACATTTTAGTTGGCGTGATCCAAACAACGTGTTTAGAACTCATCCAAAATGTCGAATAACTAGCATTCCTTCACTGATCGAGTTTAACACTGTAAGTGTTTTTATTGGATCTTACTTTTAATGATATTTTTCAAAACTAGATGAAAAGATTGTCAGACAGAGAAATTATACAACCCGGTCTTGTCGAGCTGATGTTCGAAGATTAGTTACACGAGATCATTCACTGTCATTTATTTTGATATTTTCTAAAACAATCAAAAACTGATTTTGTGTTCTTTTCGAAATAAAAAATTCGTATGACGAAATTGTAAGGCTCAAGCTCGAGAAAAGTATAACTATTGAATAATTTTCTAAACATATTTTTAAAACTTATTTCATACCATTTTGTACCAATGATTTACTTTTGATATTGATGTTATGATTATTGAATGATTTTAAATAACTAGGCCAAGATTAACTCTCCTTTACAAATATTTAAGTTAAATAGCGAAAGTCTCAAGATGTTTTTTGTGATCACGCTGGTACAATACGAACTACAACAAAGTACGTAGACGACTGACAGTACTGTAGGCTTTTTTTGAATTAGAAAATGCGCAATGACCAGTTACAAGGACAATCTTGAAACTGGTTGAATTTATTTAGAACGTGAACGATATATTAAGATCCCAGTAACACATTAGTCACAAACGTCATAAATGTTTTCGAGAATTCTTATTGTGTATCAATAACTGTATTAAAAGTCTTCGTTAGTGGTTTACTACAGCCTTCGATATCCGTCCCAGTTGTTCTGATGCCATGTATGGGATTTAAAGCTACCAACTTTATCGTTCATAGCTCTATATAGACTGTGTTTGCGTTTGGAAAATAATTCTATAAATGAATATTCTACCCCATATATATCATCAACTGTCAATACGTTTACCGCATCTCATTTTCTATAGTATGTTCCATGTACTTTTATGCGTTTTTCCATATTATCATCGTGGAACCTTCTACATCTTTGTTACATTAGGTCGGGGGAAAATCGGCTTACTAGTGAGAATCCTATTTATGTGCTTACTCGACTCACTGTCTGTTTAGATTGATGCTATCTTACTGCAATGTGCTATATGTTGCAACCACATTCCAACAGACTTGTATAACTCACTGAGATTTCATTCTGGTCACAACCATTAAAATGTGTTGATCATTTACTGTAAAATGTCTGCATAAGGAATAAAACAATCGTAAAACTTGGTGATCTGGACACACTTTTGTTTACTAGGTAGTAACTGCAAATCGCAACTGACTAGAATCGCTCCATTCATCATAACCATTCGCTCAGTCAGTCAGTTCAGGTTGCCATACCACACTAGCACAGAGACGCAATTGTCAATTCAAATCCAGTAGCAGTAGAGGTAGTAGGAATATCAGCAGTAATCGGAGAGATTAAGGTTTGAAGATAGTATCCAAGACGTATAATCTAGTTAAATAAACTTAAAAAGAGAAAGATAAAGGTGATGAGGGACTTTGAAGGTTAGCATTTGAGAGAATACCACGACTGGATGCACGTGCACCATTGCAAACGATTTTGAGCCATGTCGTTCAAGATCTCTTACCATCGATTACTATCATCTCGCGGAGCCCACCAGTTAGTCGACATTTACGAATATGACTGAATCCAGTTGTCAGTGACTTCGTGGATTTGTGCCATCTTTTGGTTTGGCCACCGCTAGCTTTCTTCCAACCTACTCCTACACCACAAAATATCGCTCGTCGAAGCAGGCGGTGGTTGGGCATATGTAACACGTGTCCCAACCCCCTCAATTGATGGAGTTTTACTGCTTCATCAATTGATCTGCCTTCCTTACCTAGTACTCGTTTCCTAACGACAGCATTGCTTACTCGATAGTACCAAGATGAATGAGCAATGCTTCGTCGACACCCAAGATCGAAAACCAGTAACCTAAGAATATCCTCTACTCTAACTGGCCATGTCTCACAGACATAAAGTAGGACGAAGAGAACTGCTGCACAGTACACTCGTCCTTTGGTCAGCAGACTGATATCTCACCTACGCCATAAGTGACGCAGGTTGGCAAAAGCCAATCGGGCCTTCTGTATCTGTGCTGAGATTTCGTCAGTCAACAGGCCATCAGCACTGATGAGACTCCCGAGATAAATGAAGTGTTCGATGCGCTCAACTGCTTCACTCGCTATCACTAGTTCAGGTGCCGATACAAGCCAATCGTGAGGCAGCATTTTGAATTTCGAGGCGGAAAACCGCATCCCGAACGTGCTTGCATTTTTGTTTAGGGTAGTCAGAAGACTGTGGATTTTTTCAGCGTCTTCACCAAGTAGAACTGTCTTCGGCATATTCTGAGTCATCAAGAGAGTCCACCCCTGAAAAGTCTGACGAGGATAATATAAAGTCGAAGTATGTCTATGCCTAAGTTAAACAAGAATGGAGAAAGTGGACAGCCGTGACGGACACCACTTGAAGAAGTGAATTGCGAAGACAGTTTGCCGTAAACTCTGACTCGACCAGTAATGTTTGAGTAGAGAGCTTGTATAAGGTACACCCTTTAATGACAGACACTGATACAGAACCTCGGGATCGATACGATCAAATACCGCCTTAAGGTCCAGGAAGACAACTTTTGTCGGACGACTAAATGTGTGTCCGTGGTCGAGGATCTGTCGATGTGGGATTGTCTAGTCTATACATCCACGTCCAGGTCTGAAACCAGCCTGGTTTCCTCTAGTCTGCTCTTCACGAGCTCTAGTTAGACGTCTAAGTATTATCGCGGCTAACATTTTAGACACTGATTCCTCGATTGTCACAAGAAGACGTTTGTTTTTCTTGTAAACTTGGACAATCAGTGATTGAGACGAATCAGATGTGATTATGCATAGTTCCCAGATTCTACCAAAGATCAATAATCAGTTTAACTGCTAAAACTGGACTACCATCCTAAAAAATCTCATGGGTAAGCCTGTCAGACCCTGCTGATCTCCCTCACCTTATAATGCCTATAGCCTTTTCAACTTCAATAGGAGTTGGAGGACGCACATCAATTCACCATTCAGTTGTATCAATCTCTAAAGTATTCCGCCTATCAATCCAATCTCCTGGATTAAGAATGAATGACAAGTCAATCGGTTTCCGAGATTGTCTCCCTTACAGTCAGATTCCTAATACCAGTTTCCTTGATAAGATAGAGCAGTTGTCTACTAATATCTATCACCGCTGTCTTTTCCATCGCTCTTGCTTTCGCTACCCACCACTTTGCGACCATTGTGTAGACTTCTTATCAACCAGTGCTCAAGCTTACTCCGCTCTTCGTCATGTTTAGTGCCAGACGGGATGAGTTTCTGAGCATCCGTCTGTTCGATAGATGCTACTGAGATCCACTGCTTCTCCCTAACCTTATGGTTTACCCTACTAGCAGATATGGCTGATGTTTCCACAATTTTTCGGTTATCGTTCCGATCTGTTTGCGGTTGGGAATATCACTAACATGGTCGCTCAACTGTTTTTCTAATTGTTCCTGAAATATTTTCTTATCCATGCCATCATTAAGTAGAAACCTAAGAGGTTTACTTGCGGTGTCCTTCCTACGTCCAGTACGCCTCGAACAAATACGCGCTCGCAATTTACGTTTTAGCTGACTGAATGAATATGCGTACTTAAGAAGCTATGAAATGTAGTTTCAATGAAGTATGTTTTACAGCGTGTTTTGACTTTAACTTGACATTTCACTACACGTTTTATTTTGGATGTACTATATTCCATCTTTCCATGATCATTTTGTTTCATTTAAATGTGATATTCATTATCATTACCCTTTTGTGATTAGCATTATTATTGTAAATAAAGCAAGTTATATCCCCACTTTCAATATTCTTGTTGTTTCTTTTGATTATTTTGTTTGATGTGCTTTTGATAGTTGTTCAAGCGTGTGAACAAATATTTTTCATTTAATACTTACTCACTGTGGTCAGTTTTGTAGATAAATACACATTAGATTTGGTTAATTAAATAGTTTCTAATCACTAAGATCACAAAAAGGTTAACATATGATTATGGTTTTTAATAATAAGTGAAACGTTTAGAACATTAAATATAAGGAATCACTTTAGTTTATGTAGGTAGGATAATACTGATTAGAATAATTACCGATTTCAGTGGGTTTTGCGATTATTACGTAGTATTTTCCTCAAAAGGCAGTCAAAGTTATTGCATATACTCAATTTCCTGACTGTGTTAATAATCCCAGATAAACCGTCCAAGCATCGTATCGTATGTTAGACTAGTTGAATTATCATGGAAATATCTATCTCCGATTTCCACTATAAGTTAGTTGCATCGCTTAGCTTCCAATTGTTTTGATTTGTAAATAGTGTGGTAGACTGAATGGGTAATTTCCGGTGCGCTTTACTGTTTCATAGCAATATATTAGTGAAATGAGATAGGATCTCAATTTCTTACTTGTCTGATTGTGATTGAATGTCCAAAATGATAAAACACTTTTTATCGTAGATGTTGTACTTTACTTATTTTCACTTGCTTTCGTTCACATAACTCCTATTGTTTCTTTGAGGTTATTTCAGTGAAATTCATCCCTGTTTTTTCAGTGTAGTAGACGTCAGCTTTTTATACATTATTTATTGTTTTAGGGATCCTTAATTTTAGGTGAATTATCTAAGTATCATCACTAATGTTTATATTGATAATTTCACAGAAATTTAGCATTTGGTGGATTGATGATAATGAAACTGGTGACATACTTGTTATTACAAACTAAACTGTTTGTTTACAAGTAACACTATTTCTTTATACTTAACTGAGAGCTAGTTACTTGCAGAACAAACTGAATTCATTTAATCTCACGTATTTCTTGCCAATCCTATATAATCTAACTAAATAAGTAACTCATTTCTGATGAAATATGAAAAGCACTTTGCAAGTTCAATTCACATCTCCAAAACTAAACATTAAAATAAATGATAATAGATGTATTACGTTATCTTTCTGAAGGTTATTATTTACAGAACAATGTTTAAAAATTACGTTAATTCGATCTATGACCATTCACCATGAAATGGAGGTGGTTAATGTAGACATCTAATTCAGTTGTTTGCAAAAAACTATAATACGACATAGCAGGATTTACAAATCACGGTTGGATTTGTTTTGTTTCTAGGCGTACTAACTTGATGCTTGTTCTACCCGAAGGATAAAATTTTATGGTTAGTAAAATTTTGATTCATTACTCAAATATGTCCTTGAAATGAAATGTATTAAATAATAGTCATACTAAGCTGTGCATCTTAAAAAGTCGACTTAGTGTTTCCATTGCATAGATCGACTATTAGTTTTGATTAAAATGAGAACTATGGAATTTGCGAAAAAGTGATTTATCTTTTGTTTAAGAAACAGCCTATTAAGAACCTGTTGACAGTTAATGATTAAGATAATCTAAATTTAATCGTCCTTTAGATCCGGACGTATTCACATGTGATTGCAGAAGTTATTAAGTTATGCGTAAATGACCTTTCTAACAACCAGAGCAAAAATTAATGTAGGTACGTGGGATGTTCGCACAATGTAGGAGACTGGAAGAACTATTCAAGTTGTTCCAGAAATAAAAAATAATATAACCAGGTAGTGCTTGGAATAGGTAAAATTTAGTAGACGCAGGCTAGATAAATGATTGGCTACAGTAGAGATTCTGTTGTACTCCGGCCATGAATAAAATGTCATTCAGTGCTGTAAGCCTACCAACGATAACAATTAAGACGACAAAGATCAATTCTATCAGAGGCTGCAGTTAATTATAAAGAAACGTTCTGAAACGGACCTGACCATTCCGATAGAAGACCTAGACACCAAAGTTGGAATGGACCACATCGAATGTGATGACAACATGGACTGGAAGAAAAGAACGAAAACGGTGAGAGATTCGCAAATGCATGTGCCTCCAACAAAATGGTTATTGGGGTCACATTACACAGAGGCAAATCAACCAAATCTGCAATATAAGAACAAAAAGAGGAGTTGACATAGTTTTGGATCACCACTTGATGATGGCCAAGATCTATGTTACTTTCATTGCACAGTATACTAGTCTGTAGTTAATAAATAATTTCCTCAATTAACCTAAAATTGCATTTACCAAAATTAAGTCCGTTTCCGAAACAAGTACATAAAAAAATTGAAGGGACGATGTTTACTAAACGTTTTGTACATAATCTGTAAACCTTATATCTGAACTCAACTCTCTGCAAATAGTAATATCGTACATCCTATGGGACTCTAGTTGTGATCGTTTAGTATTTCAAACAGTTTCTAATTATTGTTTCAAAGCTTTGAACTCCTCTCTACCTAATAAGCTTTTTTAAGCAAAACAAGTGGCTCAAAGGTGATTACGGAAATCTGAACTTGGCTGGTATGCTGTATGGTATGATCGATTTTGATAGGAGTTGAATTTAATTATGCGATAACATACAAAAAATAAATCGATTAATTATACTAGTGATCTTTGCTCACTTAGTGAATTTTTAGTTGACCTTTGGTATATGAACTGCTGAACATGTATTGATGTATTTTAACGCTGTGTACATTCCAATCAGATCAATATCACATGGTTGTTCATCTTGTAGTGTGGTGATAATAAAGTTTTCTGCACATGATGATCAAAGGACAAAAATATTTGGTCATTTCTAATGATTGTTATGAAGTATGTTCAACCCATTTGTGGTTGTACTTTCGACAAACCGAATAACAAGTTGAAAGAAAATCTGGTTAGCAGTAAGATTTAAACCAGCGCCACCTTTTTACTTGGTCTAGGATATCTAAGTGACAGAAAAGGATCGCATATCATTTTTGGAATAGTGTATGTAAGGGAATCGGTTACAATATTTCCAGAAATATATTTACAATTTGGATGTGTTACGAATTATTGATTTAGTTCTTTTCTATAGTACCGATACATGCCTTTTTTTTACAAGGACAGAGTTTGTTTTTCAGTTCACTTAAGCCAATAATGTTAGTTGAAATAATATTTATCAAAAGTGACAAAACAGTTCTGTTTACAATCGATATTCACTTTGGGATATGTTTCTAGGAGCCGTAAAAATCTGATGTTTTAAGACAATCAAACTCACTCTTGAAAAGAAACATACATAAAGCTTTGCTAAACTAAATAGTGTTTCTAATTTTTGACTTAACATTTTTTCAGTTAAATCACTAAAGTTTGTATGGTCAGAAAGACGTTGGTTAGGCGATTACATTAGTCCCGTTCCTTGGAATAGACAGACGATTTGTTGTAAATGAAATTGTTTAGTTGATAAAAAAAATGAGTTTGATAAGATCTATGTGAAATATTTTCTCACAGGTCGATCATACACGAAGTTTTTACTTATTTGTGTATCAGAAATAATAGATGATAAACGTGTGCGAATGAAAGAGCAACCAGACAAAAAAACTTAATTTGTGTCGCTCTTACCAAAAGTGATCAATAGCCTCAGAGTTAATTTTGTGTATTTATGAACCTTTTGAGTATACTGAGAAATTCTAGATTTGTATCTGAGCAGGACTTATTCAGATCGAAGTATTCACTCCTGACCGCGTTTCTACTACTACAAAAGTCGCTTTTTAGGTTAGTTACATGACCTGTTCTTACTACATGTGTAGAAACATCTTTCGTGTAATTGACACATATTTCTTGGTCTACGAAAATCGATGTGAATATACAAGAAAGCTTACAGAGGTTTTTTTTTAACTTTACTGTTTTCCAACAAACTAATATCCTTCACTGTAAATAATTAAGCACCAACAAGTATCCCAGAGTTTTTCATGCATTCAATTAGATTAAAGATAAAATATAAGTTCTGAATGAATACTATGGAGAATTGTTGGTTTTCATTAATTTATGAAACTCAAAAATAAAATATTCAGTAACAAACGCTGCTTGACTGTTTCAATTGATAATCATTCCATTATCATAAATGAGGCATGTGGTAATGAACCAGTCAAAATACTCATTATGTGTTCGATATATATATTTTCAGTAACTTAAAGATTCTCATTCAGACACAAAAAACACAGTCTGTACAAAAAATATTGCTTTTCATTTAGTTTCTCATTATAGCTCAACATTAGTTAGTATAGAGTTTTACATTTGAACATAAGAAACCAATTAGATAGTTGTGAGTAGATTGACACAATAATAGTAGTAACAGGGTGGAATGCGAATCAGTTGATTAATAAAACTGATGATGTAAAATTAAAGATGCGAACGAATACAAGTGAAATTTTAGGTTTGACTATTAGTTATTTTCAGTTGTTGCTTAAGAATCAAAATTAAGAAATGCGAAATCGGGATCACAAATCAATTAATTACTCAAATCAAGGACATGAGAATAAGGGGAGTATTACTGTAAGTTTAGAACTAATAGTCTGTTAACCATTAGAATTAGTTACGTGGCAGTAACGATAAGGAATGAAGCGGTAAGTTTGCATCTGATTGAATGGTCGAAGCAAATTGACTAGCTATACAAAAGATTTCTCAATGAAAAGGTCGGGTTTATTTAAATGAATGCTTATGGTTACCTCTTTGTGTGGAAGGCGACTTCTGGAAGCATGTTTTCGTAACGTACCAACTTAACTGCTTGGTGTTCACAAAGAAAGTCATCTTAGACTATTATTTTTGCGTATCTAGAAAAATGAATATAGCAATATATTTTTGTTGGTCAATGCTGGTCTTTTGAACTGGGAAGTAAATCAAATGGTAACTTCATGTGATAATTATCATGTGAAAAGTTAATTATCATTGCTTAGTTACAGTTTAAGATCTTTATATATATATCACTAATTAAATTTCCGTTTTCTATATTAAATTAACTAGAATTTACATCACTTCATCACTTTTTGATAATAAACTTATCGACCATGTTGTGGCGTAAATTATATCCAGTTCATTGTAATCGGTTTCATTGCAATGCTGTTCAAGCTTTACGTCATCAACATGATTTACTGTGGACCAAAGTAATGACAAGTTCTTCACGCTTAAAAATAAGAAGTTTATCAAGTGGATCAAATATCTCAACTGTGGATGAGAAACCAGAAGATCCGGAAGCAGATTTTGTGCACCGACATATTGGTCCATCTCAGAAAGATATTAATCATATGCTTCAATTTTGTGGTTTTAATGTAAGCTTTTTGATGCTTAATTTCAATAACTAATTGTGTTATCATGCCATCAGATGACTTACTTGTACTATAGCTTAATGGGTTATTTCAGTTGCTCATCGAACACACCTATGATTGGATTCGGTGACAGCTAACCTATTCTTTACATAGAGTTTATGAAACCAATGCTTTTATCACCATAGTAATGAATAGTCATTTTACAAAACTCCAGCTAATTTTGATAACCATATAAAAGCTAATTTGATAGCTTCCGTTTGGGTGAATAGTTTGAAGAGTAATTCATCAAAACACGTTTCAACGAAGAATAACAAACGTAACACAATAAGATGAATTCATTTATTTCATGATAACAACCTATAAACAATAGCAATATTTATTTACAATCGTTGTACATGCTTTAAATTACATTACTAAAGATTAGTAGCCTAAGAACAACTGTTATAAGAAAAAATAAACTGAGTTTGTTAATTTCACATTTTACGGTTGATATTATGTAACTGCAGCATTGATTTTCATTCTTTAAAATCTCGTCTACATGTGTTTAAAAACGTTTCCGTCCAGATATTTCATATTAAGTCGTCAAGTCAAGAAATTGACATTTTGTGAAACGTATCATTTAACAAACTATGAAACATTAATTTATGCGATTGTACGTTCATTTATATCTAAGTATATCTTTTTTACTTCTGTTTACTCAAATGTCTTTCGATAATAATTCACTAAGACGAACGTAATTGTTTAGCATCAATCTTTTACAATAATATTGTCAATAAGAGGTGTTAATATTCCTATAGAAATCTCAAAACTGCATTAAATACTTTGTTACATGCGTTACACTCTAATATAAAAACTTAAGTATTTTGAAATCTATATTAAGGTTCCAGACAAAAACTATAATTTTTTTGGAACATCCAAAATGATATGTGACATTATTTGAATTGTTCTATGACAGATTTATTATTTAATTATGTAATAAAACGCGATTCTTTGCACAAAGGGACACCTAGATATTAACGCGCTATAAAAATCGATGAATTTTTGTGTGATCTGAGATACTGTTCGAGTCCCCAAACAGAAACATATTGTTTTCTCAGGCGGCCGACCCTCGAGACCTTAACTTACAGGACCAGTCCATAAGGCAGTGGAACAACGTCAGGAGATGTTCATCCATGGTAACTGGTGACACAATAAGTCCTTTCACCATTTATTCCTTCAGGATCATGGCACCCATATTCACGATTGGTTTGGAATCGGGGTTTTCCAACTCCTTTAGGTGGATCCTTCGAACTATCAACCGGGTTTGAGTACTGAATATTAGTTTTTCATCCTCTCAATTTCGTAAACTACACTTCCGCCTCGAGTAAAACTCCCCTGACAGTGGTCATCCATGCGTGGCCATATGAGTAAGAACTCTCCTCACTCGCGACCACATTTAGGACCCTAATTTCTACTGTCCTAATGTAGTGTAATGTATTATTGTATTTTTATCGAAGTTAATGAAGAGTGATATTTATATACATGACATTAGGTTAATGAAATTTCAGTGTAAAGACCATGTAACCACATAAGCTTGAATTTAACTGTGATTCATTATTAAGCGGACCATAATCGAACATCAGAGATTACTAAACACTTCAGTAAAAAAATCTTATGGTAAACAAACTTCCATCCGTCCAGTGTAAGTTAAAAATAACTAGGAAGTCTAGCTTAGTTATCGAGTGAATTAGCAAAAAGTAACCTTTCAATGTAGCAAAAACAAAAGATAGTAATGTGCTTTTTACACACGTAACTATAGAAGAAATATCGATGATTTCATTCTGTTAAGTGGATTCTTCAAACGTTTGTCAGTTTTACTTCAATGTTATCATTGCACCTGGTTATTATAATCTACTTCCGACAGTATATCGGATTTTAGTTCCTTCATCAAACAGTGTCTATATTCAGTATTTGTTTACTGTGCACATTAACCAGGTATTCAATATCTATACGTCAGAAATATTTCTGATATATGATTCCTAGTTATCAATGCTCTTGTTGGGTTTCAATCTACAAAGTCATAATGATATATCCACATAGAATACCAAATAGACAAAGGTATGAAATTCTAGCGAACTTTTTTGACAGATTTATTTGTGAAGCAAACCTAATTTGTACAACTTTTTTTCAAAATTCTTATTCTGATATATATTTTTGTTTCATACATAACCGTTCTTTTTATGTTTTTTTACAGTGAAATGACTTTAGTTTGAATAAAATGTTTGGTAGTTTTGAGGTCATGATAATAATTAGAGAATAGAACTTAACTGAATTCTATACATATATGAGCAAATCGGCAGAGTCTTATCAAAGGTTATGTTATTAGTCCATTCACACTTATTGTCCAGGTATTTCCTAATTAGTATACTATCAACTGTAAGAAGACGCGATTATTTATCAATTCACTTAATTCTTATTCTGTAATCAAACAATATATTATCCCCCATATATGAACTACTATCTTCTACAATCGCATTTGAATTACACCTTACAAATTTAATACTACAACTTCATTCTAATAGCACAAGTAATGCAAGTGATTTTTGAGTCGTATGATAACTTATCTTCATTCGAAGTGAAGGGTTTCAGATGAGTATCTATTTGAAAACAACAATACAAAACTAGTTATATTAACAGAGTTTAAAAAATCAGGATTAGATGTTCATTTAGAATCCCCTTTAGTTAGTAATAAGTAAAATGTACATATTTCACGCGGTGTATCCGATTACTGCGTAACTTTTGCACGTGCTCCGAAAAACGTTTAATTCTAACATCGTTTTTTTAAATATCGTTATAATGACAAGCTTTAAAGTTGATGATCAGGGTCTTATTCGTCTTGTTATCAACCCAGGATTATGAGTATCACTAATTTCGAATTTTTTGCGAAGAAACTAGATATTAAACGATGTTAGGGCGTCGGAGACGATTGAGCGATTACCATGACTGAACTGAGTCATGTTGGTAAGTGGTTGTGGTCCTCAAGATGACGGTAACCGATGGTTAGAGACCTTGGACGACATGGCTCAAAATCGTTAGCACTGGTGAAGGTGCATCCACTCTTTGTGTTCTCTCAAATCCTAATCTTCTGGATTCGTCAACACCTCTACCTTTGTCTTCCTAAACTTATCTCACTGAATTATACTTCCTGAATAATATGTTCGAATCCTGATCTTCTCCATTACTGCTATCTCTACCATTATGGGATTTGAGCTGATGATTGCGTGTCTGTGCTAATGGGCCATGGCAACTTGAATTGATGTACGTGCGTACGAGGTTATACGTTGTAATTGACTGACTGATGGGCTAGTTGATAGATGTCAGCAAAAGTTCCATTAGCTTAATGAATACTAAACTGGAAAGATGTATATGTCACCTGTCACAATCACATGCTTTACTAATGTTGATAAAAAATGTCAAATACTAATGTTTGGGGCACCTGTTTTCCATGGCAATAAACCTTTCTTTCTTAAATTGAACTTATCTGTATCTACTCACGTTCAGTATCATAAAAGTATTATGCCTAACCGTGATCGTTAATACTGAGAATCAAACCAAATCATACTTGTTAACATTTTCTTCACCTTGTCTAAATTTTAAAATAAAGGTGACAAATATATCCGAAGTCAGGAACCCAATATCTGACGGATGAAAATTAATTGTAGCACCAATACTGATGATAACATTTTACCAATAAAAATTGTTTGAAGATACTGATTATTGAAATGAAATTTATGGAGTGTAGTTTTTGGATGATTACAATTTGAATGTATGTTAATCCTAAATTTATTCTTGTACTGTACAATTGATGCTCAGAGTTCCGCACTATAAAATAGTTTTTATAGTGATGAATAAAGTTATCAGTATTATACGTTAGATAAATTTTTAGTAATTTTTATAATTGAGTAACTAGCAATAATTTTTACATGTCACGTCTTACGATCCTTCGTTGTCAATTGACAATTGAACAAGTGTATGTTTATTATTTACATATAAATGAGTAGAACTTATTATGTTCAATTATCGATCAGTGGCTGAATTGAAACCCACTAGTAATTAGTTATAGTCCTTGTACATAATACTATGAGACACTGCTTATGAATCTTCAGCGCAGATTGTACTTTCTATTTTAGTTCACACCTCTTCGGTAAATCATTACTTATTTTCCATTACAGAAGTTGACATAATATTATTTCTAAACTACTATTAGGATTATTTTCTAATTCATACGAGTATTTTACAATGGTTAGTTTATTTTTATTTGCATTGTTGCTTTTGTTTTAATTACTGCCTACTTTGTTTACTTTTCTCCAGACTATTGAAGATTTTATATCCAAAGTAATACCAGATAGTATATTATTACAAAGGAATTTGAAATTGGAAAATGAAACAAGTATGTATGCAATAATTGATTTCGAATAAATTAGTCATTTTGCCTACCTATGAGTAGTGTTAGTAGTAGTAGTAGCACATGAAACTTTTAATTTTCAAAAACCTATATTTGTCTATTTAAATAATAAAACAAATTACATACAACTCAATAGATTTATTTTGATTTTAATTCCAAGTGGTTATTGATAAGCATGGTTCGATTGAGTTTGAATTAATTTAAAAGTAAATCTGTGATTAACCGTTTGAAGATTTTACTTCCAATCGAACGTAACCAACATTTAGACAAGTTTCAAATGTTGATTGCTCAAGATTTTGTTCACCTATTATACTGTTCAGTAAAAATATTTGACACAACTTGCGTATGGTTGTTTTTATTTGCTGTACATAGTTTTTACGGTACTCAATGGCTGAAAAGGGCAACCGACAAAAGTTAAAGTAGCTGTTTTTATCTACTCATTATTCTGTGCGAATGTCAGCGGTATTTCTAGTGGAATTCGGCAGTCAGGAGATAAAATTAGTTCTATTCTAGAACCGTTCACAAGTTGCCTCAATAATATATATCGTCATAAAAACCATTAGTTCTGTATTGAGTAGTGTTTCAACAATCATATCATATCAACAGAGTCTATTGATACATGAAACGAAATTTAAAAGTGTACACATTCTTAATGCTGATTTTAAAAGTAACTTAAAATTAGTCCTGTCCACATCACTTGTAAATATTGTGCTTATTACTTCACAAACTTAAGGTGAAGCAGAACTTATCAAAAGATTAAAGTCGATCATGAATAAGAACGAAGTTTGGCGTTCTTATATTGGGCAAGGATATTATGGTACTATAACACCAGCTACAATACAGCGCAATGTATTTGAAAATCCCGGTTGGTATGTCAATGTATCTTTGCTAGTTTTCCTTCAGTTATTTCAGTAGCTATGTTATTTTAATCTGTTGCCGCCTTCCGATATGTTACTTAAATAGTCTAATGAAATAATATACACTATTTGTCGTTGGTATCTTTATTACTTTAATTTCAGAAATCTCATTTATTCGACTGTCTTATTTAATAAACTATCAGACTGACTTCCAACCAATAATGCAAACTAGAGAATGATATTACCTAATTCTAATGAACAAACTGAAGGTTCAGTTGTGAATTGGCTTACATTTATACTGAAAGATCACTGAGTATTAACCAATGTAACGTTTGCCTAATCCTTAATTCTGATCAAACTCTATCTCCCAGGTGTTCAATAGGGCCATTAGTTTGAATGGCTTGATATCGTTGGCACTGTTTTGATATTAAGTGGCTGGAGGTGAAAAACCTCTTATCTAGATTTTTTAAATCCTAAGGGGGCTAATGAGCGCTGTCGAATTAGAACCTATGTCATCCAGTGTCACAGTTTCAGACTGTACTACTAAGCTATTTAGGCCGTTACTGATATGCCAGGTGGAATAGTTAAGGCATAAACCTTTCCAGATTGGCGAATAAATGTTACTGAACATTTCACCAGTACTTCATGAGGCTGATTTGTAAACGTATTTGTCTAATGGTAATTAGAAATCATATAAATAGATCGGTGAGGGAAAGGTTTTTTTAAATACAAAAATACAAAATCATTGTCTTTATTAAGAATACGCGGAAATTTGTGGTGTAAATAACCTAGTTATCAGACATATGTTCATATCTTCATCAATAAGATTTATGTAGATTACTTTGTAAATCTGAGAGTACTGTTCAGTGTAATAGTGAGCCGTTTATAATTACAGCTTTAGACATGTAACCGTTTGCTTACAAATTCGAACTCAGTCCCATCTACTTTGTTTCGGTCGACTAGTTAGTACTGATGGCCGCCACACTGGAGGTGCAAATCAAGAGCAAGTGTGTGAATCTAATTGCTGACTACTATTATCCTGTTTTTAATGATCATTACACATGAAAGATGTGTAGATTGAAAACTGGACATGATTGCAGCATTGGTTATTTGCCATACAACTTTTCTTGTTAAACTTCATCTAGCTCTACAGAATTCATTTAAATAGACTTGTTTTCCAAATAATTAACTGCTAAAGGCATATATCTGAGTTACTGAATGCCATTTAATCAAATTAACTCTTGGTAAATTTTCGATTATTTGTTTGGTTAAAACACTATGTGAATAATTCATTTTTCAGGTACACTGCGTATACACCATACCAAGCTGAAATAAGCCAAGGTCGTTTAGAATCACTATTTAACTATCAGACTATGGTGTCAGATTTAACAGGTTTACCGAGAGCGAATGCATCATTGTTAGATGAAGGTACAGCATCTGCAGAGGCCATGTGTTTGGCGGTCAGGTAAGTTCTAATCATTCATACACGATATTCCATTTTTATTAAGAAGCCAATAAAAAATCTTCATTGCAACAACGACATATGATCGTTAGTGTACATAAATACAAAGAAAGTGATCACAATATAAGGTATCATACATCTTCTGTGTAATACTGATCAAAGTTTATCACTTACATTTGCTGTATGTCTTCAAATAATAGCTGAGGTATTGTAAAACAAGGCACTCGAAATTTTTGCATCATACAGTAAAAATGTAAACTTTATTTTGTTAGCGAAAATTCTTAATGCACTCAATCCTTTTAAGAATGACAAATGTGTATGTTTAACAGTAACTGTATTGATATTACATTCAATAGTTTTTTTTGTTGTATATTTTTCGTCCTATAAGATACACAAACAGGAAAAAATTTCTTCTTGATAGAAAATGCCATCCACAAACTATGGATGTCGTCACATCTAGAGCAAAGTAAGTGGGACTTGAATTGTGGTATCACCTTTTATATTGTTTTAAAGTTTCAGATATTCTCCAATTAAAACATTTAAGCTCTTCGAAACTTATGAATCATGCACATTGGGAATTTACTATTTCGTAAAGTGACAAATTATGTAGCACACCCGGATCTCCAGCATCAACAGACAAAATGTATTTAGTCTCTTGATGCATTCTATCTATCGGTAAGGAGTTCAGTTCTTTTAAGATACGATTGCTCAACAAGGAAAACGAGATATTTGGAAAGATGAATTGCTTATGCATCCGTTAATCTAAACAACTTTGTCTATTTGGATAGGTTTTATTTCATGCAAACTTTATACCTTTCAGTTTGACGTAACCAGACTTTTCACTGATAACTTAAGTAAAACAGTGTTAGGTGTTCCAGTGTATGCTAACCGGTTTATTATCACAAGTAATAGCTATCATCATGGATTGGCCATTAGGTAGTTATTTATAGTCCTGAAATTGCACAGTTTTGTCTTTTCTCAAACAAGTTATAGTTTGTGCAGCAGTATCTATAAAAAGAGTGTGTTCAACTTCAATACATATAATCGTCAGTTATAGTGAACGAAAGATGAATACTCCAAATGCTTTTATACGTTTTATCAGTTCTAAATGAATCCATGGAGTCAAATCTAAGGTATTTTAATATTATATACAGAATTAAAATTTTGCTTATCAGTTATCTGTAACTGATATGTTTTTCTGTGTAATGAATTCATAAACATTAACCAATTGACAATATTCTTATACTGTATTGCCTTTGAGCCCTATTCTTTATTTATCTGAATATAAGAAATAAACGGCGAGACATTTAATGCTGTATAACACAAGGATAAATCACGTCCTAAGCTATTGAATCTTCATCAGTTAAGTTGGTTGGGACATGTGTTACATAAACCACTGACTGCATCGACTTGCGATGTTTTTTGGTGTAGGAGTAGGCTGGTCGAAATCTAGGGGCGGCCAAGCCAAAACGTGGCAGAAATGCATAAAGTCACTGACAACTGAGTAGAGTCATGTCGGTAAGTGTAGACTATCTGGTTGGGGTCCGCGAGAAGACAGTAACTGATGGTTAGAGACCCTGAATGTCATAGCTCAAAATCGTTTGCAATGGCGCAGGTGCATCCATTGTTTGTGTTCTCTCAAACGCTAATCTTCTCAATTCTTAATGACCCTCATCTTCCTCCCTCCAAATATATTCTACTGAATCATACTTCTTGAATAATATCTTCAAACCCTAATCTTTCCGATTACTGCTCATCCTTCTACTTACGCTACCATTATGGGATTCGAATCGACAATTGCTTGTCTGTGCTAATGTGGTATGGCAACTTGAACTTATGTGCGTAAGTACGAAGTTCGACGTTGTAGCTGACTAACGTCCTGAGTTATTAGTTTATTTTTGTCAAAATAGTAGTTGACGCCCAATTATTTTGAAATATTTTCCATGCATAATAACTTATGCCGTAAGGTAGTTTATATTTTAACTTTCAACACCAATCACTGAATATCATATCACTGTGAAACATTGATAGGGGGAGCTTAGCGTAGTCGTATAAGGTCTTATTATTGAAAGCTGCTGCATGATTATCATTAGAAATCGACACTCAATATGTGTATTTTGAAGTTTATTTGCTTTTTTTGTCGTTAATAGTTTAAATTTAAAACTTTCAAATTAAGTATCAGTATAAGGTTGCAGAGATTGCTGAATTTCAACTGAAATTACGAATCAATCTAGGTTAGATAACTATTGAAGACCCGTATGGGTTTTCTAGAAATTAAATGACAACGTTTTTAAGTCTATTTCCGGTAGTGAAATCGTCGATATGCAATACTAAGGAGTCCCATACGAGGATGTAACAGCCACCTAGTGACTTTAGGTCGTCAGTTGTAGTCTAACCTACGTCAGTTCGTGATTTTGAATAAAATTTCAAATTAAGGTTCGAATAGATTGTTTCTAATGTTTGTTTGACTAGAATTTTCAGTGCAAATCACTAACATTGGACTCGGAAACAATACTTCATTTTGACTTTTATCAACAACTATTTGACCGGGAATTTTGCTTAAGGTGCGTTTTGCCAATTTTTAAAGAATAAAATGAAACTATGATAACTATTGTCTTTCTAACTGAAAGATTTCCTCTTACATTCAACTTTCAGTCTCGTTAAAGACTTTCTCTGCCCATCATATTTCATTATTCTTAAAAATATAATTTTGAATAAGGTCATAAATAAGCTGAATCCATATCGTGACAATAGTCAAGAACTTGATTAATTCATGTATGCGTAGTTCAGTAATCTAATGTTGCCGGTGACTAGCAAAAAATATTGAAAGTGTGAATTTAGCTTGCTAATGATAACTCAACTTTCTATAACCTACTAATTTCAGATGTAAATAAGCCCGTTACGGATTTTATGTAAATTAATAACTTATCCACTGTATAACTTATTTATTTAGTTAGAATATCCTAGTTTTTTTCTCATGTTGTAGATTGTTACTTGACTTCACTATCCCTTTTTTAAATGTTTTTTGTCGATAATCTCAGTCATTTCAATCAAAATTTATATTTATTTTTATTCTTTAGAAATCTTGATATTGAAATTGAAGTTGTTGGTTTGGACAATATGGATCACATAAAAGCAACCATAAGTACTGGCCAATGTGCTGGATATCTGGTACAATATCCAGACACAGAAGGTAATATATGGAATGAGAAACTTCGTGTTATTGCAGAACTAACAAAATTAAATAAGGTCAGATTTAAATCTTGTGTAATGTTTTTTTTTAACTGTTCAAATAGAAGAGACATTTTCTAAGTAGAAGTTATTGAAGAGAATCGGAGAATGTACTTTACCTTTGGGAATGTCAAAATTATTCCACAGAAAAATATCTACACGAAATTACTTCGTATTACTACTATTTATGAGGTTATACCAAATGTTAAACCTTCAGCTTGTTCTCTTACTAGTTAGTCATGTAATAATATTCAACGAAAGATGCTACTCTGATTATTTTAATCGTCTGTCTTCATTTGTTTATCTCTTTCAGTTACCAGTAATAAATCCGTTAAATTTCATTTCAAATCAAAGTCAACGTTGCTTTTACTGCTCCTACATTCACTAGCTTCTATTTCCGATATTTATATCAAGCACATGAATATCTTGATTACAAACGTACTATTTGGTACTTATTTATAATATTGTTCAAAATGGTGTATTTAAGATTTTGGAGAGACTCAATGGCTTTTCTATTAATTTAATCTAATTTAATATGCGGATTTTTTTTCGATAGTTTTTTACTCTGTCTACAAATGACACACTATCACATCTCACCGGGAATAAATTATATGCACATGTATACGTCAACTATTCAAAGAGAATTGATTTCATTTAGTATATCTGTGCTGTGATTTTCTTTTAATAACGGATTAGTGTTTCATGAATAAGCAGTGAGATTATCTTATTTCCGATTAAATCAATAATTTTTCTTCAGTCAACATTTGACGTGCCATTTTATGACAAGTTGTAAATAATTTCAGACTCTTCTCATCACCGCAACCGACTTGTTAGCTCTGACACTTATCGAATCACCTGGTAGTCTAGGCGCTGATATAGCAGTTGGATCGTCACAACGTTTTGGAATACCAATGGGTTTGGGAGGACCTCATGCAGCATTTATTTCGTCAACTGAAGCACTCACCAGATTACTACCAGGAAGAATAGTCGGCCTTTCTAAGTAAGTAATTCATAATTCACTAATTGGGTATTTAAATGCAGTAATTCTATTTGTCAACTTTTTATCGTAACACAATTATTGTGGCATGAATGCGACAAAAGTATTCAATAGCTTTACTAAATTTATTGCATCGAATCAATAGCTTACTTTTACTTTCTTCGGTAGCTATTTCTGCCAAGAAGCTAAATTTGAGTAAGTTGCATATCGAAACAACAGAAGCCATACTTTTCAACTGACACACACACACAGAGAGAAAGGTGATCAAAATAAAAGGAAATAATTAAATCATCTGTGAAGAATTTGCTGTTCTTAAATAATTGATATTAGTAAAGATCATAGTTTTTATTCATCTTATTGTTTTTCCACCAGTTAGATTATGTTCAAAATAGTGAAGAATTCCTTCAAGATACTTAAAGGTGGTTTTCTGGAAATTTTTGTGGATTTCTAAGCTAATTTCCCCCATAATTCGATTTGGGCTAAAGAGCCTCTAAATGATAGCAATAATTAAAGGTTGCATTCAGGTTTTTAATGTTTTTGATAATCTCCTGTTCACGTGACTGTCTGCAGTGTGAACTGGAGTCTATAGTACATATCATACTGCGCTGTCACAAATACAGTATTGGAAAGTATAGATTTGCAAAAAATATTGTCCACTCTTTTTATTTCCTTACCAAGGCTCTCTCTTTGCAAGATGTACTGTTATAATAAAGTGTTTTATTATGGTCTATACTGACCTATTAAAAGTTACTCTTATTGAAAAGGAATTACGAAGTAATCTTACATATTTTTATTTGTAGGGATGCAACGAACGAATCTGCGTATCGACTTGCCTTACAAACTCGGGAACAGCACATTCGTAGAGATAAAGCCACAAGTAACATATGCACTGCTCAAGCATTGCTTGCTAATATGGCTAGTTTCTATGCTGTTTATCATGGTCCGGAAAGATTAAGACAAATCTCTTCACGTATCCATAGAAATACTTTGCGTTTAGTGTCAGCTCTGGAAAATGCGGGTTATAAGGTCAGTTGAAATTCGATGAGAACATACAAACGAAGTTAAGAGGTTATTTATTACTTTGAGTTACTTTTTATTCGTGCTCACTTAGGGAGTTACCTAAAGATTTGCTTGTGAATATTGTTTAACATTTCAAGGAAATGTTTTGTATACACTTGTGTTTTATTTAACTGATTGTTTTTAATACTCAACAGATACTCAACGAAAATAGACTTTACAACAACGAAAGTTTATTGACAGCCATACCAAATTTAACTATTAACATTTCATATCATCATTTATCTCAAAGAATAACTCATTGTCTAATTCTTTTTAACAGCTACATAATAATTTCTAACATTTTTATAAGAAGATATGTATAGGTTATCTTAGTTTTTATCATGGATTGATATCAGCACAAAAACCCTGAATTAGAATCCAGTAGTCTACAATTCCAAGATCAGCCAGTTAGGAAAGCCTTCACTGTAAACCGAATATGTTGATATTATGAATCTGGAAAATGAGATTCCTCAGTTGTTCAGTCGTATCGTGACACCTTCGAACAAAAGTTTGATGGCTTTGAGTTCTATCTCTGACGTTATTGTGAGTGGTAACTCGTGTACAATCCTAATTTTAAACAAATGCACCGGCGCCATTGCGAACGATTTTGAGCCATGTCATTCAAGGTCTCTAACCATCGATTATTATCATCTCGCGGACCCCAACCAGGTAGTCGACAATTACCAACATGGCTCAGTCCACTAGTCAATGACTTCATGGATTTCTGCCATGTTTTGGTCTGGCCGCCCCTAACTTTCTTCCAACCTACTCCTACACTACAAAACAAGGCTCGACGAGGCAGTCGGTGGTTGGGCATACGCAACACATGTCCCAACCATCTCAACTGGTGAAGTTTCAATACTTCATCGATTGATCTGCAATTCTTACCTAGCACCCGGTTCCTAATAACAGCGTTGCTCACTCGGGTGTCCCACGATATACGAGCAATGCTTCGAAGACACATATGATCGAAAACCAGTAACCTACGAATATCTTCTACTCTCACTGGCCATGTTTCACAGCCATATAGGAGAACGGAGCGAATTGCTGCACAGTACACTCGTCCTTTGGTTAGCAGACTGATATCTCGCCTACGCCATAAGTGACGCAGGTTGGCAAAAGCCAATCGAGCCTTCTGTATCTGTGCTGAGATTTCGTCAGTCACCAGGCCATCGGCACTGATGAGACTACCGAGATAAGTGAAGCGGTCTACACGCTCGACTACTTCACTCCCTATCACTAGTTCAGGTGCCGATGCAACCCAGTCTTGAAGCAACATTTTGCATTTCGAGGGGGAAAACCGCATACCGAACATGCTTGCATTGTTGCTTATGGTAGTCAGAAGACTCTGCACTTTGTCAGCGTCTTCACCAAGTAGGACTATGTCATCGGCATATTCTAAGTCAATAAGCGAGCCACTTGGTAGAAGGTCTACTCCTGAAAATTCAGACGACGATAAGGTTATTTCTAGGAGCATGTCTATGATAAAATTAAACAAGAATGGAGAGAGTGGACATCCTTGACGGACACCACTTGATGTAGAGAATTCCGATGACAGTTCGCCATAAGCTCTCACTCGACCAGTGGTGTTCGAGTAAAGGGCTTGTATAAGGTTAATGTACTTCTTTGGTACACCTTTCAATGACAGACACTGCCACAGAACCTCACGATCCACTGAGTCAAATGCAGCCTTTAGGTCTAGGAAAACAACTATTGTAGGACGCCTAAATGTGTGTCTATGTTCCAGGACCTGTCGTAGTGTGAAGATGTGGTCTATACAGCCACGTCCAGGTCGAAAACCAGCCTGGTTTTCTCGAGTCTGCTCTTCACGAGCTTTCGTTAAGCGTCGAAGTATTATTGAGGCCAGTATTTTAGATACTATATTAGTTAGACTTATTCCCCTGTGATTGTCACAAGAAGACTTCTGTCCTTTCTTATAGATTGAGACAATCAGTGATTGAGACCAGTCGGATGGGATTACGTCCAGTTCCCAGATTCTACCTAAGATCTCAGTCAACCTAGCTGCTAAAACTGGACCACCATCTTTAAATATCTCAGGGATCAGTCTATCAGGACCTGCAGCTCGCCCTCGCTTCAGATTTCCTAACGCTTTTTCAATTTCATTAAGACTAGGGGGACTTAGGTCGATTTGCCATTCAGGATGACTGGAGATCGTGGGTAACTGAAGAGTGGCTCGAGGCCAGTTGAACTGATCCCTAAAGTGTTCTGCCCATCGATCCAGTCTCCTGGATTGAGAATGGATAATAAGACCATCCTTTTCCGAGATAGTCTCACTCACATTCGGGTTCTTAATACCAGTTTCTTTAAAAAGGCGGAAAAGTTGTCTAGTGTTGCCTATCGCCGCTGCCTTTTCCATTGCTTTTGCTTTCGCCACCCACCACTGTTCGCGGTCGTTACGCAGACTTTTTATAAGTTTGCGCCTAAGCTGACTACGCTCTTCATCATGCTCAGAGTCAGGTGGGATGCGTTTTCGAGCATCCATCAGTTCGGTGGATGCGACTGAAATCCACGGCTTCATCCTAGCCTTATGGTTTACCTTACTAACAGATATCACTGCTGTTTCCACAGCCTTTTTGATATCATACCAACCTGCTTCTGGATGGGAATCGCTTGCATGGTTGCTTAACTCTCTTTCTAGTTGCTCCTGAAATATTTTCTTAGTTTGATTATCATTAAGTAAAACCCTAAGAGGCTTTCTTACGGTGTCTTTCCTACGTCCAGTAAGCCTCAAACAGATACGAGCTCGCACTAGAGCATGATCTGAATCCAAACATGTGCCCCAGAACGAGCGACAGTCTTCTATCGAACCCCTCCATCGGTGGCTGATGGCGATGTGATCTAGTTGAGTCCAACGTTGAGATGACTTTGGAGGTCGCCAGGTCAACAGATGCTTTTCCTTATGCCTAAAGTTGGTGTTCGCTAAGAATAGGCGGTTATCTGAGCATAGTTGCAACAGACGGTCGCCATTGTCTGTTCTCTCAGTCGCTACACCATAACATCCACCAAGATGTCTTTCCTTTTCACCTAGTCTACCTACTTGAGCATTAAAGTCACCAGCCATTATTACTATATCAGAGCGCCTAGCTTTTTGGAGGAGGTCCGAAAGCTTTCTGTAAAACTCATCCTTAACCTCATCTGCACTGCAGTCAGTGGGGGCATAGGCAGATATGACGAAGAGGCAACGGCGAGTGTCCCTATCCTTACGAGTCCTTACTGTCCCGTTTAGTCGGACAGCGCACAAACGACTATCTACTGGGGTCCAGTCTAGGAGAGATAATTCTGCCCTAGGACTCAACGCTATGCCTACGCCAGCAAGACTCCTGAAAGCAGCATCAGGGCTACCGGATACACGAAGAGTGAATCGGGCTGCTTCTTCGTTTTGACAAGGTGGAATCAGGTTAATGACTTTATTAGGATCCTGTATGCGCGTTTCCGAGACGCAGCATACATCGATGGCACGAGATTCTAAAGTCCTAGCTAATGATGCCTGTTGCCCTATTTGACACAATGTCCGTACATTAAAAGCTCCAACATGTAGTTTAGAACGGGGTTTCAAGAGACCAGGAACGGCGTTTCGTGATCTCGCTTCGTCTGCATTAGCAGTGCAGTGAGAAAAGGGAGTGTGAGTAGAGTTAGTCGTAAAGATAAGGGAGACATTAGGGGGTGTAGGAAGGATTTGATTTTAACCAATTTGGTCTCGCGTGCTGTTACGGGTATGAGGGCGGTTGTCACTTCCCGGCTGCCCACACCGTGGAAGGTTGTTTCTTGAGGAACCTGAAAAGGAAGATGGATTAGTGTTGGTGCGTGACCGCAGAGCCCAAGGAGCAACTGCTTGAGGCCGGTCACGCACGGCCTTTTTATGAGAGGTATTTAGAGGATTAGCTCCGTTCTTAAAGGCCCAGTGGGCACCCTTACCCAGGGATACGGAAATCCGTGAGTTAGGGGAGGTGTGACATTTTTAGGGCCGACCTTTTCTAACCCTTCCTTCCTTGCGAGAAGGCAGCATCGCTGCAGATGCTGGTTGTCCGAGGGAAACACCTTACTGCTGTCACACCCCTCTGCAGTCAGCAGTACGACTTCGCCCTCAGACCTTGGGTAGCTGCTTTTAGTCTCATCGTTCTCCAATCGACCAGCCTGGTATGGTAGGACCTGCAGGAACATATGTTCCAGCCAGTGTAGCGCGGTTGGGTCATCACGATAGGCAAACCCGACCACCACGTCAAGGTAGCAGCTACGGTTTATTCATAAAACGTATGATTATTTAACGGGTTTAACAGAATACTAATCAATGCTGCAACAACGTTCTTAACTATTATTCTTTTCCTGCCAACATATGACTCATTTTTTTGTTGTCACTGATGATGAATACATCACATTTGTCCTTAATTTTATTCCTAGAGACTATGGTTAGTAAGAAATAGCAAAGATAAGTGTGTTTGTATTTATCTACAATGATATGGCTATTACAAATCCGCACTGAAGCCTCTGTGTATTGAGAGTACATTCACAATTCTTAATGGAATATAAAATTTAAACTTTCCAAAGAGATAAATACAAAAGAACAAGACAAATTCCTCAATAAATATGAAAATCAGATAACTTAGCTATAGAGTTTTATGATTAAGCTCAACAAAAAACTACTAACATTAATCTTACCTTCATATACATTCTTGTGTAATGTGTGCATTTACAGTAACGGTTTATTCACGTAATTACTTACTTTACATGTGAACCAATCCTAGATTGCTAATCAGACTGCAGTATTCGATACAATCAAAATATTACCAACCTCTAAACAAAATTGTCTTCAATCTATTCGAAGAAAAGCATTCGAAAAACGAGTAAATCTCTTATACTATCCGGATAGTGAGGCGGTGAGTTGATTGCAGAATTAATTTCTATACCGTTTACTCTAATAAACGAAAAACAAACGTTTTTATTTTAGCGCATTCTTTTTTCTACTGTACAGTTAGTATAATACTTGAAATTTCAATAGAGGATTATAAAAAGATTAATTTAGCCAAGAAACGTTGGTTCGGTGAAAAAGTCCGAAGAGTTCCATGGGGACTATAGATTATTTTAAAGGAATTATTAAATGGGACTAACTATTCATAAAATGATATCAATATTCGCATTTTTTTGTATGATTAGTTCAAAAGTTGCTAAATTCTTCAATGTTTAATCTTTTGTTAACTATGAGTTACAGTTCTCAAGGGGGTTATTTGTAAAAAATCTCACTATGTCAACTTTCAAGAGTTTGCTAGGATTAACACTTTTAGATATAAAATTCATTTGAGCATCCAGCTAAGAATAATTCATAGTTGTTCAGTTTAGTAATTCTGTGCTCATTTATTCCTTGTCGAAATATCGTGCACTTAAAATTATCCCTTAACCTGTTTTAAGATACAATTTATACGTTCGTGGATATTTGTAAAGTATGATTTACGATTTTATGATGATTAAGTGTGGATTGTGTCGCTTTAGTATCATTGCAGAGTGAAACATCACATCCATATTCAAGGTTGGGAAGGCTTTCTTTAGGTAACAAATCCATACCACCACTACCTACTTCCATCAGAGGTGTTTTTAGAATGTTATCGGTGGCAAAGTTGGTAAGGAATAGTAAGATTGGACAATACTTTTCTTGATTGAAACAATAGATAAAGGAGGCTGTATGCCCTCATTCTATCTGAGGTGTTTGTACATAAGGCCTTCAAGAGGTTAATAATTTCTCAGGCACACCCTTCCTGTTCAACTAATTGAAGGCGACCCTGATGTCAGATATTACAGCGATTGTTAGCCTGCAATAAGTATAATAGTGCTCTAACATTGTTGGAGAGTAAAAATATGATCATTGAGTCCTTGATCAGAACGAAAGTCAGCATGCTATAAACGAGTCAATCTTTCCTCGGTTTTGAACAATCTACGAAGTATGATGGAGGTCAACAGTTTGGACGCGTTCGGAAGTAGATTTCGCCTCCGATAGTTTTTACCGAATTAAATTATGTGTACTTGTTGAGACTGAATATTCATTGCTTCAGACAGCTTCCAAAGAAACAGAATCAAGTACTAAACACTAGACGTTTTGTTTGCTTACATTACTGACTACCTTGAATTTTTTAATTGCCCAAAAAAGGGAATGAACTGTGTTCTGGTTGATCACTACCCTAAATTTAGTAAATTTTCTCCCTCTTGTTCAGGTTGGTTTATCATTAGATGAAACCGTAACCAGTGAAGATTTTAATGATCTTATGTATATTTTCGAAGCAACTCAAGTGAAGCCTAAGGTAAATTAATTCACTAAAGATTTTAGAAAATTAGTTGTATAACTTTGATACATTATCATTTTTGTTCGTAAAGTTGACCCAATTTATCAACCAATCAGAAAAATCATGTGACATAGGATCAAGAAACAGATCAAAAGGAGGATACAATCAAAACAAAGGTGAAAACAACGACAGGTTTAAGGTCAACAGCAAGCAATCAAGATCGAGGTTAGCAGAACAAGCTGCGGGTCAAACATGAAGTTTGTGCTGATGATGATGTTGTTCAGAAGAACAATGAAAGCTCCACAACCAAAACATCCAGCTCAGATAACCATCACTACCACCACAATGTTCGTAAAGTTGTTTGTGGCCAGTATTCATTCATATTTAAGTCAGGGTTAACTATTTGATTGTCATTTTTAAAATAGTAGTCTGTTCATACATTGATCATTTATAGAATAATTATGTGAACATATATTTTCATTCCAAAGTTCATTACTGATGATATCACAATATACTTGTCGAAAATTTCATTTAGTTTCATGATATCGAACTATTGACGTTTTTCTTTATGCTGAAGCATTAGCTAGTCTAAAGTTAATCCTTGCATTTTCGCTCAGTAGTTTTTGTATTGAGGAACTAATTGGAATTCTGAGTTTTCATTCTGTAATTGACATCTGTCTCATCGTACACTATTCGTCATTTGATCTATCATAAACTCGTTTTCCCTACTTGTCTACTCAGAAAAAAATAAACAACAAACAATAATCCAGCCTTAAGACAATGGGCACTTTTCACCAAATCCTATAAAGATCATTTCAGTGAGAAATTTATTCACACGTACAATTTTCACATACTTTATGATGTTACTGTTTGTATCAATCAGAAAAATTGGCTCCTTATGACACATGTTGGAAATGGGTAATCAGTTATGAAAGCGTCAGTTTATGCTCAATTCATCTGTGTATTTTATATTCAGAATGCTTAGTTTCGATTATGGTTGTTTTAGTTAATGCATACATTTAAAGTTTTTAGGATTATACCCTGGTGTTCTATATTTGTTGTTGTTGTTTTTTGTTTAGGAGAATTCCATTTTTGCTATCAGCACATATCCTAATCTAATGCGTGCACATAATTATTTGACGCATCCTGTATTCAATTCATTTCATTCAGAGACTGAATTATTACGATACATGAAACAACTTGAAAATAAAGATATTTCTTTGACACATTCCATGATACCGTTAGGCTCTTGCACCATGAAATTAAATGGTACCACTGAACTACTTGTAAGTGAACGAACAATAATGCATGGAATTATTATTATTATTATATCTATTGTTCAATTTTCGCCAATCTTTAACTAAGTCATTTTTACAATGTGGGAGTGAAAATGTTGGACAGTGAATACATGGACTATTCATATTTTCCAGTTTGCTAAGAAACAATACGATGACGCAGATCGTAGTAAGTAGTCAACTTAAAATTAACTAAAAACTTTGCAAAGAAAGAATCACAAATTTTATACAACAATCATTTTACGTGGAATTCATAAGTAGTTGATAAATTCCTCTTTAAACTAGATCCATTAGGAGATGGAGAAACAGTAGAATAAGTGCGGAATAGAAAACAATTGATGTTGGTTACCATCGGACCGAAAAAACCAATCAAAATAAAAGTTTAGCTGAAGCGAGTTTAGCAGTCTAGTTTTCAAGAGTTTTGTACAAGCCTGTCACTCACTGCTTCTCGATATATATCACAACAATCCAGATATTTTAGAGATGTATCTTTCTCATTTTTACATAAATGTTATCGTGTGACGCTTACTGTGTTTATATGAGAAACATGAAATCGTGATGAAGAGAATAATTCATTAGACAGTCTTTTATAACTTTCTTTAAAATGTATATTTGGAAGCAACACAAAGATGGTAACCGTAACGTACTGATGAAGCAATACAACAAATTATATATTCTATCTCGTGTTCACCGATGACTTATCTAGAAATTATCGTCTCATATTGGTGGTAAGCAGAAGGAAACCATTAATACAAAGACAAGTCAGAAAACACCATGTAATATTCATTTATTTGTAAAATATTCAGTGCTTTTTCTGATTAAATGAAACTAAAGGATTGATATACGCAATTAAACTAACTCGCTTGAAAATTGGACATGAATAATTCCATCGATAATTTACAACCAGTGAACGTTTTAATGTAGTTCGGTAGTAAATTCAAGTTCTGATTTATTTTTAAGAAAGCTGTTACTACTTACTATACAGGCAATTATATGTCTTCTCAATGAACATAATTTGCTTATTTCATTGAACTCATTTAGTTGAAATCAAGTTCAAAATCATGAGCGTGTTTTTTAAACAAGTATGAAGCCAATTTTTGCCTGAATATCAACATCCCAGTGTCATGATATCCACTTTCTTTTTTTTTAAAAAAAAACTAAATTGTGTGTTACAACTAAATAGGACTAGTATTTCGATAACTAACAAATCACTCTAAAACCTCTTTCCAAGCTTTATAAGTAAATAAGTCAATTATATAGCTTTTTTTACTGCAGTTATGTTATTCTTAAATACTTATTATTTAAATTAAATTCAGTCAACTGGTAAATCATTATTTTTATTCATCAAACACAAAGTGAAACCAGTTAAGTCAAAAAAAAACAGTAAGATTGAAAGAACTAGTTTCGTGTTAGCCAGGCAATCCAAAGGTATCATTGAAACTGTAATAATCTACAAAGATTGTGCAAACTTCAAATACTATAATTCCATTAAATTGTTTGTTTAATGTAGAAAGAAGTCGCACAAAATTTGATATAACTCTGTAGTACAGACAGATAATTTCAATATAGTATCCATTCGAAATATTCGGAAGAATAAACTTTTCAAGAGACATATTTAGCAGAACACACCATATACTCTTAGGATGCTTATTGATCGCTTTATTTATTTTCAATTAATAGGCTTGCTCATGGGATAATGTCAACAAATTGCATCCTTTCGTACCAAAAAATCAAGTTATTGGATATCTGGAATTGATCGCACAACTGGAAACTGATATCAAAGAGATAACTGGGTATGATTATGTTTCTCTTGCACCAAATAGTGGAGCTCAGGGTGAGTACGCTGGATTGAAAGCTATCAAAGGATATTTGGACAGAAAAGGTGAACACAAACGTAATGTAAGTAGTTATAGTGTTGATACTTATCTTGGGCTAAGTTGGTTGCGGTCATTCTAAACAATTTTTGTTAAGTAGGTTTAACAAACGTTTCAATTGGCGTTGTATACCTAACGTGAGAAATACGAAATACCAATCTGAATTACGTTTAGCGCAAGAATCCTTGAGTCAGTTTTGAATCCCTATTGATCCACAACTCAATAGCTTTTTTTCTCTCTACCCTGCACCCTTAGTCCAGAAGTTCCTAAGCCAGCCTTCAAAAAATTTCGTTGTATTTCAAGCAGACATAATTTAAGAAACCAAACTAACCAAACCACATCTCACCATAGAGTGAAAACTACATTTATACATGAGCACTCTAGTTACTGAATAATTATACAATCAGGTCATACACAATAAAAATCCATAAATCAATCCCAGAAGTTATCTTTCTAATCTGCTTCCAGATGTATCAGTTGGGTTATTTATCGGCCTATAACCAACCCACAAGAGTGCTTCATCTCGATGTAGAGTTCTTTTTTGTAATAACTATTGTTAACTTTCAGTCTGATAGATTCCCAATGACTTTAGTTGACTTTCATCACATTGTAATTGAGTACAATTTCAGGCAACTTCATGAAAAAATCGATAGAAACTAAGCAACCTTAAACTTTTAGAGGTTTTCAAGTTTAAACAACACACTGATTCCTTCTTAATCTCAGGGCTTGTTAATAACCACTCATAGTAAAGTACATATTTTCCATCTTAATTACTTAACTTATTTTGTGCCTTGTACATTATAAAATACTCCAGAAATATAGAACTTTCTCATTCGGTTTGATGTAAGAATTAGTTAATTTATTAAATTATTACATATATATATAGTTTAAATTCAAGAAGGCATGTAAAATAACATTACATGTTTCCAAGTCACTTTACTTCTAGTGGATGTATTCTTTACTTTTTCCCGAGCTATATTATATAGTCAATATTAAAAAAATAAGCCCGATTATGCAAAGGTTGGCCGAGATTAGGTTTATTTAATGTTAAGTTTATTTGTTTAGATGAGTAAAAATACTATGCAGTGTAAAGGAATATTCCAGAAGCGAACAGAATTCACCGCTCTGAATATTGTTTTCCTTCAAACTGGAAAGAAAAATGTTCGAGTCATATTTGCCTACTTTGATTTTATATACTCCAACAGAGTCAACTAGCTATCAAATTCATATTCTTATTTGATCGCAATTATTTAAACAAATGACGAAACTACTTAATTTCAAAGTAGAATACATGAAATATTTCCACTTTATTATTATTATTTTTTTTATTTATTTAAAATTCAGATCTGTTTAATCCCTACTTCAGCACATGGGACAAATCCTGCCAGTGCTCGAATGGTTGGAATGACTGTAAAACCTGTGAAAACAACACCGACTGGTTCTCTAGACATTAATCATTTGGAAGAACAAATCTCTCTGTATAAAGATAATCTAGCTGCAATTATGATCACCTATCCAAGTACATTCGGTGTATTTGATAGTAATGTTCAAAAAGTGTGTGAAATTATTCACGACGCTGGTGGACAGGTGTTTATGGATGGTGCCAATTTGAATGCGCAGGTATCTATTTTAATATTTTAGTTAATGTTGATGTTAATTCCTGGTAATTAAAGTACGCTGAAATAAGTAATTTTTGATAATTCCTAGATTTCACCATGGTTTGTTCGGGTTCGCAATTCTGAGCGGTCTCAAGTCAAAATGAAACTCTAGAGAATTTGTTTACATAAACATTTTCAGAACCACGTAGTAATTCGTCTTTATATTTACTACCGGTTAAAATTTCGCTATCACATTTTTATAACTACTGATTTTTAGACTGTGCAGCAATTATTTTTCGCACTCACTAGGTTCACTGTTAAGATGATGATGTTGCTTTCATTCAGCATTGATAAGTAGGATATCAAACTTAAGAGTAAACAGTCAGTGTTACGCTTTCATCAATACACTGTTAGATTATCAAGTGTCTAAAAACAATTTCAGACTCCATTTTATTAAATATCATCAAATCTACTTATTTCGGCCTTATTCTTGTTTTGTTTTCTTCCATACTGAAATCAATACTCAGATTTGATTATTCTAAAAAACATTTCGAGTAAGTTTGTAAATTTTCACATAAATTAGAATACACTAATTTTCGCACGAAAATCCAGTGACTGAATGTGTCCATTCAAGAATTACATATCACTTTGAATCGAATTCAAATGATTATCTGTTGATAATTGAATCAGTGAGTAATAATAAATGTTCTTCGCGAATTACGAGCATTGATAGCTCTTTAACGAACTGACTAATATCAACAACAACAACAACACGCTTATAGCATCACTGATAAGGAAATGTGTATGCGAATCATCTAAAGAAGGTAAGATTGTGTTACGCATGCACGTAAACATGTCATTTGATATGCTTGAACTATTAAGAGTATACCTTAGTCGGAAAACGAGGGCGAGGATCGAGGATCTGGCGACATGACAGGCTACTCTAATTCAAGCTATCCAGACCCCCATTGAGTAAAGGATGAAGACTTGATATGAAGTAGAATGTGTATTCTACTAGCATCCAGAAAGTACTAGGTCCGAGTTCAGAAGAAGGCAAGGATCCCCGAACAGGTATCTGGGTCCGTATTTATTTAGTTAGGTCGAATAGGAAACAACTTTTGAAGTATGTAACATTGAGAGTTAGGACGACCAATAGGAATTGATTAATAGAATTAGACTTACAAACAATTATCTTAGAATATTGCATGAATATCCTAACAGATTGGAAATGTCCCTATTTCAGGTAGATCGTATCCCGAAAAATTTAAATACATTTACAACAATGGTGTTTTCCTTTTGACTTTCGAAACGAACTAGGTTGGTTTATGTCGCCCTGCTGATATTGGTTCAGATGTTTCTCACATAAATTTACACAAAACGTTCAGTATTCCACATGGTGGAGGTGGACCTGGTTGTGGCCCTGTTTGTGTCAAGTCGCACTTAGCACCATTTCTTCCTCAGCATTATTTATACGGTTATACTTGTGTGAATCGTCAAGGCCACAATATCAAGACTGACAATAAGTCATCCGACTATTATGCAATTTGCTCGGCCCCATTCGGTTCTGCAAGCTTATTACCAATATCATGGGCATATATGAGGTTGTTGGGACCTAAAGGTAGGTGCTTTTAATCAGGTTTCATGTCTTTTTATCAACAAAATTTCATTTTCTGCTTTTTGTCGTAAGTCAATCTGCACAAATGTGAAAGTATTACTTCTATATTTCACTAAAACTTCTTGAAATTTACAAGAATGTTTGAATCAATTAATGGTGCAAAATTAATGACTGTTAGGTCAAAGAGGAATATGAAATTTTTGACGCGAAATTGTTTTCCGTAATATGGAAGTATGACGTGTGCTAAACTATGCATGCATTTAAATTAAATGTTATTCGCTAAGATAACGTCCAGTATTTCAGATATTTAGGTCGAAGTGATAATCACAAAATGTCTAATGCGTATCTACTATAAGTAGGATTCAACGTTCTATGACATGATTAATCTAAGTCCGAATAACGAATTCACTGTATCCTAATGTTTTTTTTGCTTTCTGAAAGAATGTTACACAATTTCAACATAGGTGACTGAATTTTCCTTTATTTCATTACTATAGGTTCTTGAGATTTCAAACTCGGATTTGATAGTTGCATTCTGATTGATTACAGAACGATGGATAGGAATCTATATTGTAAACTGTTTTTGAGAACTTTTTTATTTGTAGGGCTATTCATTACATGTTAGATGAGGGTGACATAGTGTGAATGTAACGACAAGCGTTTTATGATGACATCAGTCTGTTAGTTACAATGTGTAACTTCGTACTTACGTACATAAGTTCAAGTTGCCATACCACATTAGAACAGTCAGTTCAAATCCCATAGTGGTAGAGATAGCAGAAGAACAAGTAGTAATGGAGAAGATTAGGGTTAAAACATATTAATCAAGAATTTAGATAGATTTAGAGAGAAAAAGATAAAGGTGATGACGAACTCACAAGATAAAAATTTCATAGAACACAATGAGTGGATGCACCTGCGCCATTGCAAACGTTTTCGAGCCATATGTTTCAAAATCTCTAACCATCGGTTGGTATCGTCTCGCGAACCCCAACCAGATAGTCTACGTCTAACAACATGGTTGGGTCCACTTGTCAGAGACTTCGTGGATTTGTGCTATCTTTTAGTTTGACCGCCCCTAGATTTCCTTCAGCCTACTCCCACACCACAAAACATCGTTCGTCGAGTCAGTCAGTGGTTGGGCATTCGTAACACATATCGCGAACAACTCGGCTATTGGAGTTTCAATACTTCATCGATTGATTTGCCATTCCTACTTAGTACTAGTTTCCTAACGAAAGCATGGCTTACTCGGTTGTCTCATGATACACAAGTAATGCTTCGGAGACACGTATGATCAAATACTAATAACCTACGAATATCCTCGCTTCTTACTTGCCGTGTTTCGCATCCATATAGCAGGACGGAGCGAACTTCTCGCCAACACAATGAGTAACGCAAAGTTGGCAAAGGCCACTTGAACTGATTCCTGAAGTGTTCTGCCGATCGATCCAATCTCCTGGGTTGAGAATGGATAGTAAGCCCATCCTTTTCTGAGAAAATTTCGCTAACCGATGGATTTCTAATACCGGAACAGTTGTCTACCGTTACATATCACCGCTGTCTTTTTCATTTCTCTTGCTTTCGCCACCCACCACTGTTCACGGTCGTTGCGCATGCTTTTTATCAGCCTTCTCATAGACCGTCTTCACTCCTCATCATGTTAGGAGCCAGGCGGGAGGAATTTCCAAGCGTCTATCAGTTCGGTGGATCCTACTGAGATCCACGGCTTCTTCCTAGTCTTATGGTGTACCTTACTAGCAGATATCACTGCTGTTTCCACAGTCTTTTTGATATCATTCATAGGTACGTCAGATGGGCATCACTTAGGTCGCTGCCTCACTGTTTTTCTATTCGCTACTGAAATATATTCCTAGCTATGCTATTATTAAATAGAACCCGAAGAGGTTTCCTTGCGGTGTCTTTGCTGCGTCCAGTAAGTCGCAAACTAATACGCGCTCGTACTAGAGCATGATCTGAATCTAAAACTGTGCTTCGGAATGAGCGACACTCTTCTATTGAACCCCTACATCGGTAGCTAGTAGCGATGTGACCTAGTTGGGCTCAGCGTGGGTTGGATTTAGAGATGATCAGGTCAAGAGGTGTTATTCTTCATGCTTAAAGTTAGTGTTTGCTAGAAATAGGTGATTATCTGACCATAGCTGTAGCAGACAGTCGCCATTATCTTTTTGATCAGCGGCAACACCATAAGACCCATCCAGGTGTCTTTTCTTTTCGTTGAGTCTATCTACTTGAGGATCAAAGTCACCAACCACTATTACTACATCAGAACGCCCAACTTTTGGGAGGAGACCTAGAAGCTTTCGGTAGAACTCGTCTGAACTGCAAGTTAGTGGGAACGTACGCAAATACGACGAAGAATCAACGGCGTGTTCGTATCTTTCCGAGTCCTTACTGTCCCGTTAAGTCGGACAGCACATAAGCGACTATCTACCAGGATCCAGTCTAAGGGAGCCAGTTCTACCCTGGGACTTAATATTATACCTATACTAGCGAGGCTACAGGAAGCAGCTGCAGGGCTCCCAGATACACGAAGCGTAAACTGAGTCGGTTTTATATCCGGACTATGTGAAATCAAATTAATGATTCTGCTCGGATCCTGTTTGCGCGTCTCCAAATCACAAAACACGTCCATGGCATGGGATTTCAGATTCCTCGCTAAGGAAGCCTTTCGCCCTACTGGACACGGGGTTGGAACATTAAAAGCTTCAATATGTAGTTTTGTTTTTGGGTTTCAGGAAACCAGGAATAACGTTTCGTGATATATATATATATATATATATATATATATATATATATATATATATATAACTATCGGACAGAACCAATTAAGTTATTCTTATTATATTTAAAGGTGTGAAGAGGGCAAGTCAGATAGCTTTGTTAAACGCTAATTACATGCTCAAACGTCTCCAAGACTTTTATAATATACGCTATGTAAACAATGCGGGGATGTGTGCACATGAATTTATAGTAGATTGTTCACAATTCTCCAAACAGAATATTGACGCGATTGATATTGCAAAACGATTAATGGATTATGGTACGTTTCATGAGTTATAATTTATTTTGTTCTCTTATTTTGACCAGAATAATAATTTTCGAGTAGGAAACTAAAGAAAATAACTAAGTCTTTATTACAATAGAAAGTCGCTTCACGAATTCAGTTTTCATGATAATGGCAGTATCAGCTCATTCAGATTAGATAATGACAAAGTGCCTAGCGTTGAGAGCGATTTTGTTGTACTTATTTTATATGACTGAGTGTTTTCATACAGAAATAAAAGCCTGCTTTGTTTGATTTTTTTGTAACACGTCGTTGCACCTAGGACTACATTTCAAAATAATTCTCCCCATGATCTCTGAAATGGTTAACATAAATAATATCAGTCGTGCTTTGGATGGGACACGGTAGTTTATCATCTTAGGCTGAAAACTATTGCACGTTAATTTACCATATTGTAGTGACTTTAGAATCTAGCAAAACTTTTAAATTATCTTCTGATCAATAATTGAAAGTTCACCATTCATAAGTGCATTTTCATTAAATAATAATAGAAAATTTTTCAGTGGCTTTTACAGTTTTGCTTACATATGTACGTAAACAATTCTTGTCTGATGAGTTGTTGGAATAGTAAACACTAATTTTTTCGTTTGCGATTAAAACTTAATGTTTTAAGATCATGAACTTTATAACAAACATGTAATCACATTTCCTTTCATTACTTTGAAATCAAACAAATCAAGGTTTTCATAGTCCAACTATGTCATGGCCTGTGACATCAAGTCTAATGGTTGAACCGACCGAGAGTGAATCTAAGGCTGAGTGTGATCGTTTATGTGATGCACTTATTTTGATCAGAGGAGAGATTGACAAAGTAATCAAAGGAGAGTGGGATATCGAATGTAACCCATTAAAAATGGCTCCACATACTATGAAAGTAAGTATCCAAAATATTTATTTGCCTAATTTTCCATTCACCCTTGAGATTAATCTTGAAACTTTTATTTAGCACTTTCAAAACCAACTCCTTAGGTTCATTCTCCGAAAATGATACTATAGGTATTCAATACTCAACAAATTCTAATTGTAAACATTTGAACTTGTTGAAATATTTTCAAGACAAGATCAATGTGTTAAGTCATGCTATACAGACTTCGTTTATGAGCTCTCTGGAAACCAAGGCCATAAATTATAGGTGTCATTTGTTGTTATCGACAGATTCGAAATTCTCAAAATTTTCTTTCCTCTTGATACATATTGTATTTTTTTAGATTGTGAGCAATATTTTGCTGAATTCTTCTCAATAATCTGCATGCATCAAAACGACTTGAAGATGATTTCAGGATTCAGTCTAGAATGATATGTCTATGTATATATATCAGCATTTAATGTGAATGTTTATTCGTTCATCGAGAATGGACTTGGGAATTCTAAATGAGAAGACCAAGATTTTAAGTTATAAAATGAGCCCCAATGAAGTCTAGGATGAATGCCAACTAGAAACAGAAATTTGTTAACTGCAATTGCCCCAGTCTTGCCCAGCACTAAATATAAAAGTTTATGTATGGTGATGATAGCTTACTCTGCTTTGAAGTACCAAACTCAAATCTATAATACAAGACTTGTTTTTCAATGTGACACTGACTACAAATTATTAAAGTTATCTTCCCTGAAACACTCAGGTCGGTCTTTCTGCACTAAAAATGAGAATAGTTTAGAAAAACATGTCAGTGAACCTTTAATATCTAGATTCGTATAGATGTGTTATTATCTTGAAGCGACTTTTTTAATAACTCATAAGCTGTTACCTGTTTCAGACAGTAATGGATTCAAAGTGGGACAGGCCATATACACGTCAAGTGGCAGCATTTCCGGCCCCATGGCAAGCTACGAACGGTGGATCAGTGAGTAAATTGTGGCCAACTGTGAGTCGATTAGATGATGTGTACGGTGATCAACACTTAGTATGTACGTGCTCTTCACTCCCGGAAAATGAAACGAACTAGAAACTCATTTCAAATGAACGTTAAATCTTTAATAAAACACTTATATCAATAAGGTATCTCGGTTTTTAAAACTGACCAAACTTGCATCCGGATTTCTTTAATTTCCAAAAACTGTACTTTTTTTCAAATAAATTTGTAGCTGAAAATAAAATTCCTCTGCTTAAATTTACAAACCCTTAAAATAATTATTTACGTAATGTTAGACGTTCATTGTATGAATCTCTAGGATTTAGGTCCCAAGCTTATTTCTTAACACTCAAATGATTTCTCTACAAACTCAAAAAGACTCATGGTTTTTCTGGGATTATGTTGTTAACATTTGTCATAAAGAGGACTAGCTGTGATTCGAAAATAAGTAGAATAGCGAAAGTAAAACAGATTATCACTCCATTAATTTATCGACTGTGGACGAACCATGCACGTAGGTGCGGATTGCCTGGCTAGGTTCCACATGATAGTCGTAATCAATGGTTCGACTCGGATTGATATGGTTCACGATCGTCCGCAATACTGCAATTGTCTCAACTGTTATTTTACTTACTTCCTAAATCATGGAATCTCCTTCACTTCTTATCCTTTCTGTGTCTAGTCTGCGCACAACTACTGTGTGATTCGCATGAAATGATTGCCTACCTGTGCTGATATATAGTAATTTGAATTGAGGCGTGTCAGGACCTGTTTCATATGAAACGACTGAGTAGAGCACACTTTCATTCAATGTCTACATGATAAGCACTACTCTGTACGGACTCACACAACTTCTTCATTTTTTTTTGTGATTATGTCGTATGTCCATTGTAGGTATAATATTAAGTCCCAGGGTATGACTGGCTCCCTTAGACTGGATCCTGGTAGATAGTCGCTTATGTGCTGTCCGACTTGACGTTCAGTAAGGACTCGGAAAGGTACGAACACTCGCCGTTGACTCTTCATCGTATTTGCGTACGTTCCCACTAACTTGCAGTTCAGACGAGTTCTACCGAAAGCTTCTAGGTCTCCTCCCAAAAGTTGGGCGTTCTGATGTAGTAATAGTGGTTGGTGACTTTGATCCTCAAGTAGATAGACTCAACGAAAAGAAAAGACACCTGGATGGGTCTTATGGTGTTGCCGCTGATCAAAAAGATAATGGCGACTGTCTGCTACAGCTATGGTCAGATAATCACCTATTTCTAGCAAACACTAACTTTAAGCATGAAGAATAACACCTCTTGACCTGATCATCTCTAAATCCAACCCACGCTGAGCCCAACTAGATCACATCGCTACTAGCTACCGATGTAGGGGTTCAATAGAAGAGTGTCGCTCATTCCGAAGCACAGTTTTAGATTCAGATCATGCTCTAGTACGAGCGCGTATTAGTTTGCGACTTACTTGACGTAGCAAAGACACCGCAATATATATTTCAGTAGCGAATAGAAAAACAGTGAGGCAGCGACCTAATTGATGCCCACAATCAATCAACGTAGAACTTTGTACGTACGTACATCAGTTCAAGTTGCCACGCCACATTAGCACACAGATGTGATTTTCGACTCCAATCGCAAAGTAGTAGAGGAATTATAGGTATTAGCAGTAAACCGAAATTTCAGGGTTCCGAAGATATTGTTCGAGATGAATCTAGTAAAATAAACTCGTGAAGATTAAATGATGAGGAATTCATAAGGTGACGATTCAAGAGAACGCAAACAATGAATGCACTTACGCCATTGCAAACGATTCTGGGCCATGTCGCTCAAGGTCTCTAACCATTGTGACTATCGTCTCGCAGACCCCAACCAGGTAGTCTATTACCAACATGACTCAGTCCACTTGTCAGTGACTTCATGGATTTGTGGCATGTTTTGGTCTGGCCGCCCCTAGCTTTCTACCAACCTACTCCTACACCACAAAACATAGCAGTCGGTGGTTAGCCATACGTAACACATGTCACAACCACCTCAACTGATAAAGTTTAACTTCATTTATTGACCTGCCATCCTCAAATAGCTTCCAATTCCTAACAACAGCAGTGCTTACTCGGTTGTTTCATGATACACGACCAATGCTTCGAAGGCATCTATGATATAATACTAATAACCTACGAATATCTTTTACTCTGACTGGCCAGGTTTCATAGCCTTTAAGTAGGAAAGAGCGAACTTTTGCGCAGTACACTCGTCCTTTAGACAGCAAGAGGATATATCGCCTACACCATAGGTGACACAAGTTGCCAAAAGTCAATCGAGCCTTCTGTATCCGTGCTGAGATTTCGTCAGTCACCAGGCCATTAGCACTAATGAGACTTCCAAGATGAGTGAAGAGGCCCACATGCTCAACTGCTTCACTCCTTACCACTAGTTCAGGTGCCGATACAAGCCAATCCTGAAGCAACATTTTGCATTTCAAGGGGAAAACCGCATCCCGAACATGCTTGCATTGTTGCTTAGGGTAGTCAGAAGACCCTGCATTTTGTCAGCGTCTTCACCAAATAGAACTATGTCATCGGCATAATTTAGGTCAACAAGGGGGTCTCCTGGTAGAATGTCCTATCCTGAAAAGTCAGACGATGTTAGCACTAAAAGCATGTCTACGACAAAGTTAGACAGGAATGGAGAGAACGGACAGCACTGACGGACACCGCTTGAAGTAAAGAATTCCGGTGACAGTTCGCCATAAGCTCTCACTCGACCAGTGGTGTTCGAGTAGAGAGCCTGTATAAGGTTAATTTACTTCTTTGATACATCTTTTAATAACAGACACTGCCACAGAACCTCACGATCCACTGGGTCGAATGCCGCCTTAAGGTCCAGGAAGACAACTGTTGTAGGACGCCTAAATTTGTGCCTGTGTTCCTGGACCTGTCTTAGTGTGAAGATGTGGTGTATACATCCACGTCCAGGTGTGAAACCAGCCTGGTTTCCTCGAGTGTGCTCTTCACGAGCACTAGTTAGGCGTCTACGTATAATGGAGGCTAACAATTTCGAAACTATATTAGTCAGACTTATTCCCCTGTATCTGTCACAAGAAGACTTTTGTCCTTTCATATAGACTGGGACGATCAGGGATTGAAACCAGTAAGATGGGATTATGTCCAGTTCCTAGATTCTACCTAAGATCTCGGTCAATCCAACTGCTAAAACTGGACCATCATCCTTAAATATCTCAGGGGTAAATCTATCAGGACTCGCCGCCCTCACTCGCTTCAGATTTCCTATTGCTTTCTCAACTTCAGAAAGGTTAGGAGGGCTTATGTCGGTTTCCCATTCAGGACGACTGGAGATCGTGGGTAACCGAAGCGTGGCTGAAGGCCAGTTGAAGTGTTCTTCCTATCGATCCAATCGCTTGGATTGAGAATGAATAATAAGATCATCCTTTTCTGAGATGGTTTCATTAACATTCGAGTTCCTAATACCGGTTTCCTTGATGAGTCTGAATAGTTGTCTATCGCCGTTGCCTTTTTCATCTCCCTTGCTTTCGCTTCCCACCACTTTCCGCGATCACTGCGTAGGTCTTCTGTTGGCCCACGCCAAAGACAATTCCGCTCCCAATCGCACTCAGAGCCAGGTGGGATGAACTTTTGAGCATCCATCAGTTCCTCCGATGCTACTCAAATCCACGGCTTCCCCTTAACCTTATGGTTTACCTTACTAGCAGATATCACTGCTGTTTCCACAGCTTTTTTAATATCATTCAAAGCTGTCTCTAGGCGGCAATTACTTACATAGCCACCTAACTGTTTTTCTAATTGTTCCTGATATATGTTCTTTGCTGTTCTATCATTAAGAACTGCAGTCAGTGAGAGTGTAGGCATGTACGAGGAAGAGGCAACAGCGAGTCTCCCTATCTTCCCGAGTCCTTACTGTACCATCTAGTCGGACATCGCACAAGCGACTGTCTACTGGGATCCAGCCTAGGAGTGCTAGTTCTGCCCTAGGACTCAATGCTCTACTTACACCAGCGAGACCACGGTAAGTAGCATCAGGGCTACCAAATACGTGAAGAGTGAAACGAGTGACTTCCTTATTTCGACCTGGAGAAGTCAAGTAAGTGACGCTACTCGGATCCTGTACGCGCGTTTCGGAGACGCAGCATACATCGATGGCACGAGATTCTAAAGTCCTAGCTAAGGAAGTTTGTAGTCCTATTTGACACAATGTCCGTACATTAAAGCCTCAACATATAGTCTAGAACGGGGTTTCAGGAGACCAGAAATAACGTTACGGTAACTCGAGTCGTTTGGATCAGAGGTGCGGGGTGATGAAGGAATGTGAGAAGAGTTAGTCGTGGAGATATGGAGTATGTTACGGACTAAAGGAAGGATCTGAATATGACCACTTTGATCTCGCGTGCTGGTACTGTTATGAGGGCGGATGTCACTTCTTGGTTGTCGCTGCAGATGCTGGTTGTCCAAGGGAAACACCTAACTGTTGTCACACCTCTCTACAGTCAGCAGTACGACTTTTTCTTCAGACCTTGAGTAGCTGTTTTTAGTCTTATCGTTCTCCAATCGACCTATCTGGCATAATAGAACCTACAGGAACATATGTTCCAGCCAATATAGCTTAGTTGGGTTGTCACGATAGGCAAGCCCGGCCACCACATCAAGGTGACAGCTACGGTCGGGTATGTACGTACGTACGAAGTTTTACATTGTAACTGACTGACTGATGTCTGACTAATTTTCACTAACTTCGTATCACTTTTTATCATTTTTATATAATTTATCCTACATAATCAGTATAGGTTTATGCACTTGACTTTCAGTAAGAGCTAGAGCATAAACCTGAACCTGAAGAAACCAAAATCAACGTTCGATTGCTAACTTTTCGTATAAAATGGTAAGGGCAAAACATAGATATTTCTAACAAATAAGAAACGAACGATCTTTAAATTTTGAAACTGGGTAGACGTTTTAGTCCTCATCAACAGTGCCCTGTTTTATAATGGTGCGATACATCGAAACCTACTGAACAATAAATAGTCGAATTTATTCGCGAATTTCAATAGCCCATTCAAGTTCTAACCAATAAGTCTGGAAACTATTTACTGTTAAGTATATTTGCAGAAAACGTGGAAAATGCACAGGAACAGTGTATAAAATAAAAAATAAATCCATATAAAAACAAAAAGATAGCGGTCAGGCAGTCATGTCCTGACATCATGTAAGCCTGGTCGAATACTTACAAAAATATAAACGACGTCACGCTGATGTAGAACAGACAAAAATTGATTTACAATCTTTTCTTCACTGAGGAAGTTGGAAGGGAGCTCACGATAGCCCTAAAACATAACTACTATTCCAACTTCACAGAAAGACACGAGGTCCAAAAACAACCGGTTTAAGGTCTCAAGATGAAAGCATAGGATTCAAATAGTGGTAATTTGAAGTTCACATTTGGTAAATAAATTAACTATCACAAGTTAAACATTGGTAGGGGAAAAAAGTAGATCTGACGAATAAATGCAGTTATTTGGTCAACTAAAATGGCTGTAAGAAAAGTAGCAGTTACAAGATAAGCTGAAGCGGATTTCTTAGTTTTAGATAAGAATAAGAAATGCCCAGATAGATTATTGAAAATCAGAAAGACGAGCTATTCTCGAAAGACTTGTTAAGCTAGAAATGCAGCAAGTTGTAATCAGCTGATGGCGAATTGTCCTCTGTGATGCACTGTACGTGACAATTACCAAAACACAAAATTCATCTGCACAATTCGACGATATGAAGATTGCAAACTCAGCATGAATAATGAAATAAGGAAGACTAGTTTTTTGTATCAGTGATGATGTGGTAACACGTATCAACTCTTTGGAAAGTCAACTCACATTTTGTCCATATAACAACGAATGTAGAAAGTCGACATCTGGAGAAACGATTTGGTCGTTACCCAGATCCTCGAAAGTCGAATCTCCCCAAGCCTGAAAAATTACATACCAATAAATATTCGGCTTACCTCATTTATCTCTGGTGCACATTGTCTACAATCGTCCAACATACTTGTTTCTATCTCTGATATGGAGGTTGTACTTGAAATTGAAGATGTTTGTAGTTTTTCTTTGTGTCGCTCAATATGCTGTAGCAAATAAGAACGGGACGCGTATACTCGAGAACAGTAACAACAGGTCAAAAGGCTTGGATTCGTGTGTACCAGAGCATGATTCTTTAGCAAGTTAGAACGTGTAAACGTACGAGAACAAAACGAACATCGGTACGGTGAACACTTGGTGTGAATGACGCTGTGACGCTCCAATTCACTTTGGTAAGCAAAGTTTTTTTTACACACTTTGCACGGCAGTAACTCTGATCGAAAATTATAGTAGTGGAAATTAACGTACTTTTAGGACTAAGCTTGCAATGCTGTAAACTATGTTGGTGCAAGCTGATAATGAACAAAAATCCACGATCACAGGTTTTGCACACAAAAGGTTTCGGCGTTTTATCCAGTTCAACGTAGGCGTGATGAGAATCTAAATGCAACTTCAGATGGCTTTTTTGAGCGAAATTAGCGAAGCAAAGCTGACAGGCGTACGGCATATTATCTAGAATATCAATCGAAGGAAATAAGAAAAACTTGCTTTGATGCAATCGTTGATGAATAGCCAGTGAATTGGTCGATGAAAAATTCTTTCCACAAACACCACAGGTGGGACGATCGAAAACCCTATGACACCGGGAGATATGACGTCGCAAATAAGATGGTGACGTAAATGTAGCTCGACAATGAATACAAGAGTAGCTTCCTTTGCACGTAAGTACATGGGGACCTATAGCATCTGATGTGAAGTTCTGTTGACATGTTTTGCAAACAGCAACCAAGCATTCTTTATGTTTTGCTGTCAAGTGACATATTAGTCCAGACTTAGATGCTGAAGAATGAGGACAAACAGGACACTTGTGATCCCGCAATATTGCATCCGGTTTACTATAGTTTTCCGGAAGCAGCGTATTAGTAGTATCCATTACGACTGATGTGACCATAGATGAAAAGCTGGGACTTATTAACAACCACTCAAGTTAAGCTGCATGCCTAAAATCAAAAAGACTCACTTTAATGGGTGGTTAAAAAGTTGGTCAAAATGAGTTTTACTTTCATCGGCTAGTACCTGAACTATGTATAAGACATGACTTTTTCTGAAAACTTTTAGTTCTTAAAGCTACAGTGACAAGTTGAACTAGTTAACTGAGGCTATGAAAGTAGTTGGAAATAAGACAGCTAACTTGTAAACCCAGGAACTCTAACATAACATTGCATCATAAAGAAGGCTTTCCTTTCCTAAATATAAAAGATCTCATTTCATATGTTTGAACTAAGCGAGACTAGAAAATAAAGTATCTCAACAACAACTGTTGAAGATTTTTAATGATACCGTCAAACTAGGAACTTTTTACAACTTATAGACTGGAATTGTACACTAAACTGACCAGTGTGATTCGACCGCCATGTCAACTGTAGTGCCATAAACGAATAGCGCACTGCGAATGTCACATGCCTAATAATCATTAGGTTTACAAATATCCCAGGACGGTAGTCCTATGTCGTTTCCTACAACATTTTTCAAGTGGAAATTCAATTTTCCATTGCAGCTATCCACTAATTTTTCTCATTCGATTTGCTTGTGTGGGACCTCAGTCATTCACGACTACAGGGATAAAAAGAAGCAGAAATTAAGCTCATTTTGTAAACATTCTTCTTGCGGCTCCGGAGGTGAATGATTTCAGATAGATGGAGGTGACCAGTTGCGTGAAAATCCGGTTTTTTATCAGATCGCATAATCTACAACAATAAGTTTAGTAAAAAGTTATAGGTGTTAACAGCGCATAATGGATAGGGAGTTGTAAATGACTGGTCAATAATTAATTTCCAGCACTTTAAACACTCTTTTGTAGGATGGCATCTCCACTAAGCCATTAATCAGCTGCTTGTATGTTAATATTGATGTCGGGTCTAACAGAAGTGGGCTTGAAAAAGCAAAACATATTCTTGTTTCCCGCTCTATTCGGGTGACGACAGTGGTATTTTTCCTCTCTAAAATAAATATAATGATCTGAGCACTGTTATACATCATAATTACTGTTTTTGGTCTAATCTAATCAACTTTGATCAAAATCATATCAAGGGTAATGTTTTTGCAACTATATTTTATTAAGTCTTATGGTTTTTGCTGTCTTCCGCTAGCTTCAGCCTAACAGTTTATGGTTCAATTTTGTCTGGCTATTAGCTTTTCTTTCCAATTTTCGAAGTTATTTAGAAGCCTCTTCTGGAAGACCGAACGGTGTTAAAAAAAAGGATCTACTAATGCTTAAACAGTTGATTCCGCGTTGAAAGCGATATGCTGTGTGGTGAAATGAGTATCTCCATGAAGTTCTACTTGTCTAATACTTTCAGCTTTCAAACGATTTAGTAAAAATGAATGTTTATTGTTGTGTAAGTATTGCTCCTCAGATGCAAAGAGCTTCACACCCAATGCCATTACAACTATGAACGCTGTTAAAAGACATATAAGCAAACAAAACCGTGGCAGTTTAAATGATGCTTGCTCTGTAGATACTTAGTAGATTCTCAGTCACACTAATCAATTCCAGTGGCGACTGATTGACACGCACCAAAAGAGAATCGAAAGACTTGAATGACAGCTGAAGTGACCAATTGCTGGAGAATGACCAAAAATTAAAAGGGTCGGGTGTTTCGTCTGTAAGGACTTGTTGCTCGCGAATGGCAGTCAAATAGAGGAAACAGAAAAAGGACGGATACTAAGATCAGAGGCTAGCTAAAGAACTTTAGAGAGTCACTTTGGGACAACCCCAGGTGCATCAGGAAACAATTGTTATAGTATCAAGACCTGACTACAGGTGCTTGAGGCTTTTCTGAAAAGCGATTGGGGTTATGTATACAGATAAACTCTTCCAAGCTAGATGAACTCACCATCGCGGGAACTTCACTAACCTAATCTGTAAACACTATAGAACTTGGTCATGAGGAGCTCAATTCTCAGCCACCTGATTACATTAGTGCAAAATAAAGAGCGGAGATTAAAAATGATATCGCTTTTACTTTTTACAATACCACTTGGAACTGTAAGGAAATGAGGTGTCGATTGGATCGGCTTGCCATATTCTAAACCTTGAGGAAACTAGTTAACATGGTTTCTACATATTCTCTAGTGCGAATTTCCACGTGGTAATTACTGTCAATGTGTCAGGTGAAGCTAGGTTGGACGTCGTTAAGGCTAGCATATCAGAATCAGTAGAATGAACAATGGGACTAGAATCCTTCAATTGAAACGGATTGGGAGGTACTCGGAAATTCGCACATAGGGGTACCACACATTCTTTGGACTACACCAGGTACCTTCAAAATTCTTTAGCAGTGTATATAAGGTATAAATGCCTTTTCCACCGGCCAATTCTGGCCTCCCTTTACACACTCTTGACAGTATGATTCATGAAGAACTCAATATTCTTGGTCTGTTAATTAAGTTTGACTTATGCAAATCTAGTCTACCAGTGCAAACGTTTACAGTACATGTGGCAGCTTGTGTAACGATATGATTTGGCCATTTAAGTTCGTCACTAGGTACGCTTGAAGCTATTACGAGTTCCCCTTAGTCGACAAACGCGAACGAGAACATTACCTCCGTCCAGGTAGGTTACCTTAACCTCAAACTGAAAAGCAGAAGTCTTGATAAGCGTAGAAAGTATATTCTACAAACACCCAGCAATCACAATACCATCAAACACAGAACCCTCGTTTATTTATACATCATAGAAACACACAGCAGCCAATCACAGCCAATGATTTTCCTGGTGGGAAATGAAATGTCAAGGTCATCTGATCAGCTCATGCTTGCAAACGTGAAATCCAAATAGGCATTTATCCAGCGAGTTCAGGGGATCTAACATCCCCAACACATACCTCTTGTAACACGCTGTTATCTGAAAATAAATATATTATTGTTATGGGATAAAAAGAATCGTAGATTGCTTGAATAACTAATAAATTTCATCAAAAACCTGTTGGAAATGTTTTTTAGTCTATCGCTAACCCGACGTAGAATTCATAAAGACCACTTTAACTTAATCGTGTGTCTAGAAATATAAGCTGGCATGCCTCATATAAGTTGTTAAATGATGATGAATAATACTATTATTGTTGTTTAAAATATGTACGAAACACAAACGTGAGAAATGTCGACTCGTTAGCCTACTCAGCGCGATCGTAAATATTTTATAAAAGATTATTCATCAGGAACTATTTAACTGTATCGACTATATCGGAGAAGACTCGTGGCCTTGTCAAACGTTTTCCATGTCTGACAAAGTGAAAATCGGTGTGTTAAAAAAAGACTGAAAACTAATAACAAAAGTAGCCCTTACTGAATTTAAGAGGATTTCGAACAAACCTCCCAACAAATAGCTTTTATTTAAGCTAAATCATGTCTTCATTGAAGGGGACTTATGTATACAGCATTAGGCTCCTCAGTCGATGAGCAACAAAGAGTATGGATTAATTTTGAGTTATCTCGCCGGCAAATGCTGCTTAGCAAATTGCTGTAGGGTACAGTTTTTGCACCAGTTTCGATCCTAGTCTCCATCGGTTTCGTTGAACGCTAACGATATTAAGATCTATAGAAACTGGAGAAAAGTTAGAGCTTCTTAGTGATTTGAAAATTATCTTGCTTGTCAAAAGATTAGCGTTTAACAATAAGATCAGTCAAGTCAATCATGAAGCGTATTGGTCACCAAAGTATAAATTCATGTCCGAAGAATTAAATTGAGGAAACTATTATACATAAAAACGACCTAAAAGTCATAACTGACTCAGATTTGAAAACTGCTGTGTAATGCCAAAAGTTTCAGATCCCTAGAGTCGAAATGCAGGACTTTATCTCCGGGCAATTCCAAATAACACGATACCTGCACCAGAAATGCCATGTCTCATTCCCGGAATCACTGTTGACAATTTTTTGTGAGTCTTACCGCTGAATACTGTTTGTTCTCTTTTTCCAGAAGCGTCTGTCTGATATTTTCAGAGTTGAAGGAATAAAATGATAATTCACGAGGGAAATGCTTACAGCTGATTCTCCTATCGACTATTCTCATCGATCCAAAACGACAAGACTTGAAATCTTCTGAAAATTAAGATTCGATTCATAGGTTTACCTCAAGCACCTACACAAACTAACTTACTGCTGTTGTAGGACAGTTTTCATCCAAGGCTCACATATATATATAACATTTTCAATAATGTATATACGATCTACAAAACGAAAAATCCGGGCAGGTTATTCCTCACAAAGTGTCCGTTAGAAGGAACAACCTTTACTCGGGGGTATATATAACAGATGTATTATGTACTTTAGTAAAACCTCTAAATGATGCCTCTGTTTGCAATGGATTCTTTTCATGCCTTAAAATATCTCCGCTCTATTCAAACATTACGAGCTTTCTAGATGGTTAAACCATATCAGATTAATAACCTTTTTTTCATTACCTTTTTCACAGTCCCAAGTAATTCACTTATTGTCATGAACTTGGACTTGAACCACAATGGGAAGTGGCTTAAGTTCGACTGAATCCTACGCTTTAATCTCTTGCATAAGCTCACATACTCCTTGCAACTTAGTTCTCATCCAGGGCCTATATATGCATAAGCTTCGAGATAAAGTGTCTACGGTCAAACTTGAGAAGAATAAATCAAAAACTCGCTGATATGGAATGGCCTTCCCTTAAGAAAACTGATTGCGGATGGACTAGATGGTTTTGCAGATCTTCTTGACGAAGCCTGTGATTGTGAGTGGTTGCACGCGTGAACCCACTGGCAGACTGCTTCCAAATTATTAGCTCTGAATACTTTTAAACTATACCGAATTCAGAGCTGCATTTTATTTTTTTTTCTCCTTGTCCGACTAAGCAACACTTTTCTTAGTTGGATACAAATCTCTTTAACTTTTACTTGAAATAGACAGGTTATTCACCGATCCGTCAGTAACTGTTCAACAGTTAAGTGGTTTAATGAAACGCACTCAACTGCAATGAGGAGTTGTCGCTAAAAAAACCATTTGCTATTTAACCTTTAGGTATTATGAATCTACAGCCCGAAATGCCATTAGCACCTTTGAAATGGATAAAATTTTATCGGAACCCATAATTTTGCGAGTTATTTATTGATTATTACCGGTTTTACTGTTCCTACATGTGTACTCTATTGACATACCATTGATCCTATATTGTTATAAACCGCCCCACTTATAACAGTCATAATTCTCGAACTTCCTGCCAACTTCCCTGAACATTTATCCGCCAGGCAGTTGCCCTGCCTATATCTTCGCTCCGGATATTTTGCTCGAAAGCGAAGTTGTTACAACCATTGACCAGGATTTTGAAGCTTTTCAGAAATGCACGTCCTCCTTTTATAACCAGCGGCGTTGCTCTGTTTCTACACCATCTGTTTATGGCTATTGTCTCCGTCGATATCAAAACATTTATTTATATTAGTGAAATAACAGGCATTACAAAAAAATGTG